CCTGCCTCTTAACATAAAATCTTACTAATTAAGCTTAATTCATCGTGACAATATCTTCATATTCCAGTCTTAACTTACTTGTTCATATTACTTGTTCATAATTTCGTAGTAAACGAAGGCAATTCCGCCACAGAAGCGCTTTCCTCGTCTCCCTCGGCTTCTGCCAAGCGCACTCACACAGCCGGCTAAACACCATAAGTAGCTACTTTGAAATGCCATCCCCGAGCTAAAGTTCTCTCCAATTTAGGCAAATTAATTGCTGCGGAGCGACCGGAGGGAGCGAGCAGCAACATAATCAGGAATTAAAGGAAATATATAAGGGGCGACGAATTCTCGAATTCATCACTTTTTACCACAATGCATTGCATTTAACCAGAGTGCATTGCGCCACGAACAACTCAAATAAAAACACGGGGAAGTTCGGTGGGTGAGAGAGTGCATCGTTCGCCGGCTCAGACTTAGAGTTTTCTTTGTGGTAAATTTTCTACAGCACGGTTAGAGGTCTTACCAAATTTTAAGACACGCAGGAGTCTTTCAGATGAGTACGATGGTTAACTTGGGGATTGGATTTCAATTCAAGAGCCTTTGATTCGTCCAGGTGTTAAACCTGACGAGAAGATGAGTATTTGCTCCTCGACTCCGCAACACGGGGAGATAAACAAATTCCAGCTTGCTAGAAGGTGATGTGAAAGTGAGAAAATGTCATGCAGTGCTATTCTTAAGAAACTGTTTGAGCGGAAAGTGGATGTGATTTTGATTATTCGCTTCAAAATAACAGCGGAAATCGAGATAACAAAACATATGTTTTGCGTCCTACTTTGCAGACGAGGACGTGTATCGGCGTTTCGAAAAACATAATTATGTTTTTTCTTTCATTCATTGCCATGGAATATGCGTTTACATTGTTTTTTTTCACTGTTAATAGCTCGGTTAATGCGGCTGGCGATCATCTTGCCGGCGGAAGTTACACAGAAAAGGAATAAGATGAAAGACTTTTCCTGATGATTACGTAATCAGCCTCTGTGGTGCAGTGGTTAGGTGTAGTCGCGTCGAGCCGAAGGTGCAGGGTTCGAGTCCAACCGAATTCTATACTCCTACTTTCTTTTTTTCCGTTTTTTGTGTTGTTGTTTTCTATAAATATATAGCTAAATAACTGTTACTTAATAAAGTGCAACAAACAGCAAGAAAAGTATTGTGTTTCCAGAGAAAATATCGTGCACCATATATTAAATATATGGATAAACAATCTGAATTTCTATTACCTATACGGGTATATGCCCCCCAACGGGGTCGTGATTTCGAAGCTCCTGATTTAGAACGGGGTATCCATTTCAGAGGCGTTTTCTAGAACGGGGTATAAAAAATTGTGGATCACGGCTTTATCTTCTGCTTAAAATTGTTGCTGATTATGAAGAAGCATTTATTTTATGTATAAGTCGAACAAATAAAGAAATATCTTTTTTAAAAAACAGGGCTATTTCAATTTACAAACTTTCTAGAACGGAATATAAAAAATTGCCCATTTCTAGAACGGGGTTTCAGTTTTAGGGCGAATTCTAGAACGGGGTATAAAAAATTGGCCCATTTCTAGAACGGGGTATCAATTTTAGGGGAATTTTTTTTTAGAACGGGGTGCCAATTTGGAGTCCCGGCCGGCACATACCCACCCAAAAAATACCCAAGTGCCCCCCCCGGGGGGGAAACCAGAATTGTAACTACTTGATCATTTTCTAAACAACGTTCCCACGAGTTCTTTCTATAGACTGATAGTAATTATTCTAGTACTTTCCAACATGTAAATAGGACATTCAATGTCATTTTCGATTCTTTTAAGTCTCACTGCCTAACTAATGTCAGTATCAACAGAATGTGCCGCAGCATTACTATCTCTTAGATACCCTAGTATATATATATATATATATATGTATCGTACGTAAACGACGGCAGATTAATCCCCGAAGCGCTTTCTGAGCCTCCCGAATTCTCTCCTATTCCTTTCACGCTTGGAAAACTGATAAAAAATCACAAGGAGCAAGATGTACCTGTTTTGAGAGGCCATTTGACGAGCTCAAATCTGCTTTTTGTTAGACGTTTTACATATCAAAACAAAGGAAATTTGTTCCTCTCTTTGATTTTGGCGGTACATTTTCAATCTGCACTTGCGTTAAAGAGTCATCGCCCAAGATCCCTCACTCGGTCGTGTTTTGATCACAAACGCGTTGTTAATTTTGATCGAACCGCTCGGGAAAAATTGAAAAATGACGAGGGGAAACTTTACTTTGGAGTTAGAAAATTAGCAAAATGGAAAGCCCTTATATCATAGTTAAATATTTCAGTGGTACATTGAGTACTTTTAGTGTACAGAATCAGCACGACGATAAAACATCCGAAAATCGCACTCGATTTTAGTGAGGCGCCGAAAGGGGCGTGGTCGCAAAATTCAGTTAAAGACTATTTCTACCCCTTGAGTTTCATATGCTTTGAGTAACAGACGTCTTAACTTCTTCCCCGAAAGTCTGCAGTAGGAGGTGTCATCTCCGCAAATATCCTGTTTCAGATTCTGTTATGAAGAACCTGTATGCTATTACTTTTCATCAAATTCCTCGCTTCGGTTATAATTTCTGTCATAAATAAATTGTGCATGACGAGATCTCAGCTGCACTTCTTTTATTTCCTCTACAACAACACTTTCCATATGTACAGTTGACTTCACACCTTCTCCAGCAACGTGACTAACATCAGACTGAGTACAGGTCAGTACACTCCCTTACAAAACTTGCTGAAAATGCATAATCTCCACAACAAAGCAACATAACCTTTATGAAAAGCAATAACACGCAATACAAAAACAGGTATAAAAACATCTACTCTTCCAAACAAAACTAAAAGAAGAACAATGATATTGATGTTTAGCACAATGGTTATGAAACCACGGTAACTGCCTGTTGCTTCTCCTTGTTGACAATCTATCACTTTCCGAATCGCTTCTTCTTCAGTCACGCAACGCAAACGACCGTACGTTTTCCTCGATCTTCCTCTTTCGAATCACTCTTGCTGCAATAATCTCCAGTAATCGAAATCTCTTCACTCTCAAACTTTATACACGTTTCTGTCCCCCAATTTTTTTCTCTATGAAGGCATATAACTTGTGTAATCTTGACTTATTTAAAACTGAGCCTCACTTCGGAAATAAACTGCAAGTTTACGACATTCTTCAGCGTCGCAAATCCTTTAATACTATCAGCGCTCCGCCTCAAATATTTATTGTAGCCGAAAGAACTAGAAGTTACAGTCTCAGATGTACTGCGTGCTTCATTTGTCCTTTAAATTAAATAAAAAGAGAAAAAGAAGAAAACCAGCGCGAGCCACACGGGCAATCTCAAATAAAACTTTAATAATAGAAAACAAGAGGGTCATGGTTATCCAGGTCGTTTCACTTCAAATTCAAAAAAGTGAAATAGACTGCTCTGGTCACGTAAACTCTTAATGCCACTTCGTTACTTTATTCGCCGTGCCACAGCGTACTTTATTTCTTTTGCGATAACATTTTTTTTAAAATCTAGACAGCTATAAATCGTACCTTGCCTTGGCCGAGAGAACGCACGAATGATCAAAGGGTCATGACTTGGCTGTTTACAGTCCCCTATTTTTCTATTGTCGAAATTGAGCGCCCGTTAAAGTATTAAGTGCTCTATCTCTATGATCTTACGGAAAAATAGATATAGGGGGACCTAACTATACCAGGTTATACAAACCGCCTGAAAAGTATCAAGTGAACAACGTTAAATTGATATTCTATTCTTGAAGCTGGCGTGATCGAAAAAGAGGGTCTTTGTAATGAAAATTCCGGGATCAGGAGTCCATGCTACAATTGGGTGTCTGTAAAACCAGGAACAGGCCCGGAACACCCCCGGAACCGCACTCAGGGCGGAGCTGACATGTCCCAGGACACCCCGGAACACCCCCCTGACGGGACGGACTCCCCCTGGAACACCCTTAATAACAAAAATTAGGCCAAAAAAAATACAAAAACCAAAAAAATAATAATAATTATAATTCATCAATGAATAAATAAATATCTTTCATTTGTAACTGGAATTTGCGAGATGTCCTTATAGGATTTTGCTAATAAATTATGTAGATGTAGATACATGCATTTACACTCAGTTCAGACGTAGAAACAAATCAGTTAGGCCCCCCTCCATTCCCTTTGCTGGGGAAAGGCAGGTCCTTCAAAACAGCCGTCACCATCTTGTATCCCTCTGAAAATGTAGAAAATACTTAGAAACTAAAGCTTTTGCCATAATAAAAGTTTTAAGTATCTTAAAATTAACTTGAGATGTGCAAATTTGTTTGCAATACATTTTGGCAGCATTTTGTGTCACGGAGAGGGAGTCGGTTGCTATGTTGGCGAGATTTGACGTCAAAGGAGACACAAAGGCAACCCATTTATTGTATCAAAACTTCAAATTTGTTTTGCTTTTTTTCTCCAAAAACGCACTTTCAACCGACTCCCTCTCCGTGACACAAAATGTTGCCAAAATGAAACCAAAGAAAACGAAAAAGAAATTTTGAGCAGTTTCGGGCAAAGTATTTTCCTCAGTGAGGACGCCACTACCTACTACGGGTAGTGGTCTCCTGTGTTTGCAATCTAAAACAAAGTGCAGAGGCCACAATTTGCTTGAAAGAGCGCCCTTACTTTTCCGTTTAATTCTGGTCACGTAAAAAGTCATGACATCCATACTCAATCGTGACTTGAGTTAGTTTTGAAAACGAAAAAAAATAACATGTGACCTTGACGTTGCCGTTTGGATTTTTATAGGAGATCTCCAAATAAGACATGGTCAATACAATTAACGTTACGCATCGCTGGACAAAGACCCTTTTTCAAATCATGCCTTGGGTCACGAAATGCGGTAGAGCTACGATCTGATATCAAAAAATACAACCGAGTAAAGAGTCTGCTGAAAAGCCTCCGCCAATTCGTCTGAAATGAGGCACATTTGAAAAGATGAGGGTCTGGGCTCAAACGCTAACTCGCCAGATGTTCCGTTTGTCGTCAGTGTGGCAATAGGTCCTTCAATGAAATCATAAGAGGTTATCAAACTCTTTCGTGTTTTAGCTGTTCTCTGACCCAATCTAAACGAAGAAACAATTTCGCGCCATCTATCTTCATGTTCGAATAAATTAAGTCTTCTAGAATTATCCAAAAGCCTGCTGTCGACTTGAAAAGCCAAAATGGCGGGCTTTGCTGTGGTGCTCTTTGCCCAGTCTAGAGCATCACCTAAATTTCTTGTCAAATAAAAGCCTGAGCCACAGCTGAAATCGCGCTTCTGTCTTCCAGCACACAAATCTATTCCCCGGACTAATATGTCGGCCGCGCTGAGATGGTCTGTGCCATGAAAAAGCACCACGTTCTGTTCACCTTGCGCCTGACTGTCGAACAATATATGAGCGTCTCTGTACGCACGAGATTCCTTTGTCACGCGGTTCATTATATTGACGTGGCGAGGGCTTTCTTGACTTTTCCTATCCTCTTTTGTCATATTCGGGAATTGAAACCATAAATTCGTTATGTTACTTTGAAAGGGAAAGTTCACAGACAGGGCACTCCATGTAGGATTGTACTTTAGCTCATCTCTGATAAAAATTTCTGCCCATTCGCACGCTTCAACGTGGTGTTGCGAATTTCCTGCGAATGTGCGCGTCATTATTGTTTCAACGGCTTTACAATGTGGATCAAAACCGATTTCGTCGAGCAACTCTCTGGTGAGAGATGATTTGGTTGTCGAGCAAACTAACTCACCCTTTGCTTTCAAGAAAGTAGTTATCCACTCAGTAAGTGTATAACGATCACGAAATTCGGGCGGCATTTCGTCGACGCGGTCAAGCACGTCGAGTTTTAATCCGAGCAAAGAACATAGTTGTGACCAATTTCGATTGTCCCACTGATCGGTACAGTCTCTTTCCAACATGTTAAGCTTTGAGTTTTGTGGTTTTTTCCAAGGCCTATAGGAGGATTCTGATTTTTCCCAAGTTCTTCTGAATATTAGTAGTCAAAATAAAAGGCCCCTGTACGGTTCCCTCATCCCTGGTCACACTTGAATTGGATTGATGCTCGCCAATGCATATGGGTAAGGCACATCTCAAAATATCCAAAAGACGGTGCTATATGAGTCTTCAGTCTTCAGTCTTCTTTTACCAAACGGAGAAAGACGTCCAGCGAAATTCGAGAAAACAAAATGTCTGACCATCCATATTCGAATATGAAAAACCCACAGAGCCACGTATTACTTATTTATTCTTGTCACTGGTTAGAGGGTATTTCGCCATGGAAACAGGATCGATCTCAGCCACGTCAGCCAATGAACGTCACGTAAATGAACATGTTTATTATATGCCTCATAAACAAAGGTGAAATTGAGGGAAGGGAGAATTCAAAAATTCGTATGAATTTTTGCTTGATGTGATTTTGATATCATTCGTTACTTCTTTTCGTTTCCCGCCTTATGGAATTAAGTCACTTCAAGTTAAAATAGTCGTATAGCCAGTGCTACAAAGTTTGTTAGATTGCATCTCATTTGTCCAGGTTGTTCCACATGGCCTGTATCTTTCACTATATTAACGATGTTCAATCTCAAAATTCTCTCAAACGTTATGCTTGAATTTCTCAGAATTGAGAGAGTATTCTGGGAATTGGTAGCAATCACCATTATAAGGGCAATTCTGCGCGTACCTTGCTATCCGTATGCCGCCGAAGGCAATGGCAATGGCTGAAAGGATGATGATCTCAAGCGCGAAAGCAAACAATCTGGGGTGTACTTGGCTAAAAGGATTCGATGCCAGCGAAATTCAGCCATTGGTTCGGACCGTTCAAGAAATTGTTGGGTGGTTCAACAGGCCGACTATCAAGAATGTGGAGAATTTTCCTCTAGCTCGTCGACTATTCCTGCATCTTTCTTCTCAGTTTGCAAATGTATTTGAACATTTTGGGAATGTTTTCTTCAAGTGTAACCGTTTTCCGTACGAGGAGACAGTCATTAATGAATGGTTCACTCTGCCGGATGATGAAAATGATAGAAAACAGCCGGTAATGGTAATGAATGTCAATAAAGAAGGCAAGAAAAGTAAATGCTACTTGTCTCAGGATGGCGTCGATGATTTCATGAAATCAATTATTGATGAAGATCATCAAGTATTCTTTCATGGAACTAGACATCAATACGCTCAGGATATTATAGAGGGTGGCATCGACATAAAAAGAGGGGCTCGTCGCCAGGATTTCAGCAATGGGGACGGTTTCTATCTTGGTGATGACTTTGAGGAAGCCTGCAGATGGCCAGCATCTCGTGGGCACCCTAATACTGCTGTCCTTGTCTTTCGTGTTGAGAAGACTGAACTGCGAGATCAAGATAAAGGGTTAGATCTGAGAAATGACAGGACAAGATGGCTAGAGTTGGTCTCGCAGTTTCGCTCAGGGAGGCCAGATCTAAAATTTGTCAAGAGTTTACGGAAATATGAATTCATTGAAGGGCCTATGGCTTCAATGTCTAGCAAGAACCCAAATTTCAATCATCCGAGACAGAAGGAGAATACTTATCAACTTTGTGTTAAAAAAGACCGTTGCGCTGAGGTATTTGATCGAAGCCTTCATTCTGTTATTTTCTTTGAACATTAGGCATAAAGTCTGCATGCATGATAAAACCTCCATTCTTCGAATTGTCATCAGTTCTGAAAAGTATCATCGTAAACGCATGGATTTGTTTGTTATCATGTCTTAGAGGAGAAATACTTGTTGGTCAAACCAAGGCAAAAATGACTATCCTTTTCTCTTACTGTTACATGTTGCGCGTGCAGACCATAAATCAATGTATTTGGTCTCTATTAGAACGCATTCATCTCAAAACGGAGGAGAATTAGCATAAGAAGAATCTATAATATTTCTTGACTATTTGAAGAGTAGGTAATTTATCTGTGCTGTCATTGTTATAGAAGCCGTGTTGCACTATGTTGTAACAAAAAACATTATCTCTGAGTGCCGACAATGTCAGAACTGTAGTAAAATGACCAGAAAATACGAAGGGGAGTCTAATTAAAAATGTATAAGCGAAGAATTCATTCAGAATACGACTGGAAGAGCTCAAGATAATGCATTTGGAATACAAATAGTTTCATTTCGCTATTGCCACTCTTTTGAAGTTACTAACTTATATTACTAGTACCTTATGTGAGAAATTGTAATTTTATTAAAGATTTTTACCTTGTAACTCACAGCATGCTTGCCGACCTCTCCATGATTGTTGATGTGGATTCTCTATCCATTAAATTGATATTCAAATATGAAACCACTTCGATTTCCTGTCTGACTTTTCAGCCAGGGTAAAAACGTGTTCTTCCCAGTGTTTTTTAAAAACGATTCAATTGATAATTTGTAAAAGAGAAAGCATTAAGGAGTACCAAATTTCAAGGTCTTACTCGAAGCCGGAAAACAGACCTCCCATTTTCCTATAAAAATACGATCAGTATAAGCTTTCAGATTAATGAAAGAAAGGGTGTAATACCCCCACGCGTACATTGTATGGAGATCGAGGGCATTCAAAACGGTTTGATTCTTGTCAGCGACTTGGATTTGTCCTCGCGGAAAATTGCTGTTTTTGAATTTGTTCCTCTGAAGTCAGAAATAATGTAACGTGTGTGGCAGAAAATATGTAGATTCATCCAAGCCGAAAAGCGTAGCTCCTTTTACATTCTAAACCATGCTTACACTGGGAGAAAATATACTTTAAAACATTATGGCTTAGTCAATAACAAAGAATGCCTACCCTCACACTGAAAACAGAGGCAAATTGTATTATTCTTCCTTGATAAAGGTAGCCTGAGGACGATAGCTTCATTTACAGATGTCCTTTTGGCTTAACTATCTCGCAAGAGAATTGCATAACGAGCCAAAAATTTTGTAACATTACTTGTTTAGTTTAGGTCATATTTGTCGAAGGCTGTTGTTGACAAGGGTTAACATACACGTAGAGTTTGGGGACACGGAGGGTTGAAGTTGAACCTGTCAGCGATAACCACAGAGCAACTTTATGATGTAGGGAGTAATTCAATTCATTATTACTAAACTTGCAAGGCGTTACATCAAGCGAATATATAACGAATGACCGTCGCTTTGAAGTTTCGCTTGCTATTCGATTTAATCCCATGCCAGGGGAACTCCTAAAAGTATTTAGAAGACGTTCCTGGTAACGACAAGTTCTACCCGTTATTATAATAACCAAGCTGGATAGCCCTATCCACCAGGTCCTGGTTGTTCAAACGTTGGATAGCGCTATCCACAGGATAAATCACTATCCATCGGATAAGTATTAGGGAAACCGACCAAGCTATCCACTGGATAGTGATTTATCAGGGTGGATAGCGCTATCCAACGTTTGAACAACTGAGGCCTGATAAATCACTATCCAGTGGATAAGTATTAGGGAAACCAATTGCACTATCCACTGGATAGGGATTTGTCCAGTGGATAGCGCTATCCAGCTTTTGAACAACTGGGGCCAGATCCTATCTCTTTTTACACATCTTTACACTGGACATATAAACTAACTTTTGAAACCTAAGCATTTACAGTTTCATTTTTACACAAAACATTTTCGTAGAAATAATCTGCTATCGCATATTCTACATCTGAAACTTGAAAAGAAGCATTTAGCTTCTGATGACACGATTCAAATGTCACATGTCATCGTGTGGATCTTCACCCTTTAAGCCCTAACATCAAAATTTAAATTTTATATGTTGCCTCTAAACATGGAAGTGGTGGTCGTGAGGAGAAGTTTAACGTAGCGTGTTCCTTAAATTACTCATCGTTGTGCTAATGTTACGTTCTTCAGCAGTAGATCACTCTGTTCTTTAAAACATTGATATAGCGAAGAAAAATTTGATGCTCACCACTCCTGGGCCTTAAAGGTTTAATAACATTTAAAGCTTTCGGAAGTTTATGCAGGCAAGTTCAGTTTGTTTCAGGTGGATGTAAACGTTTCTCTATCTATGTTGTTGTGTAATAAGGCAGCAATACAGTCGCCAAGAGTTCGATGCTCACAATGTTCTGGTGGCACTTCCTTAAGACGGTCAAGGAAGTCGAGTTTAAGTCCAAGCAAAGCGCTTAGTCGAGCATTAGGACAATGAAACGATCAAAATCCTCTGTCGTCGATTTAAAACTTTCTTTTGCTTGTTCTTCTAAAACCTTATTTATTGATGTCTCCAGACAGTCTGCAAAGAAAGGACCCATTTCATCTAGCTTCTTTATGTTGTAGTAGTTCTTGATAATAAATTCTTTATATTCCTCGATAGCTTCTTGGGCTTCGTAAATGGCGTGTTCGAGATCCTGAAGGGATGTGTATTTTTCGCCATAATTCAAGTTTGAAAACAAGTGGTCTCAATGAAGAGCATTATAATTTTCCTTTTTTAAGACTTCAGTGAATTACGTTCTAACGCATACAGTTAAGAAAAGTAGTAGAATATTATAGAATGAAGACTTTGGTGGAATTTTTCAGCATAATCTTCTGATATCAGGCACATTTGGTGGGACGTGGCTGTTGGCTCAAACAAAACCTCATCAGATGATTCGCTGGCTGTTAATGTAGCCACTGGACCTTCGATCAAGTCAAATGAATTCAAACTCTTCCGCATTTTTGCTGTTCGTCGACCTGATCGAAATGACGACACGATTTCACTCCATCTTTCCTCGTTGTTGTCCAAATTTAGTCTTCTTGCATCGTTTAAAATTTGGTGATTTACTTGGAAAACAAGAATGGCTGGTTTAGCTGTGGTGCTTTTTGCCCAGTCTAACGCACCATCCAAACTGTTTGTCAAATAAAAGCCTGATCCGCAGCTGAAATCGCGCTTTTGCCGCCCAGCGCACAAATCTATTCCACGAAGAAATATGTCGGCCGCGCTGAAGTGATCCGTAGCGTGGTAAAGCAGAACGTGATCTTCATTTCGAGGCAGAAAGCCATTAACAATAGCTTGAGTGGTATTACCCACATTGGATTCCTCTGTCACGAGGTTCATGATGTGAACTTCGCATGAGCTCACTTCACATTCGCTTTCTTCATCTTTCCTGCTTATTAGTTGAAACCACGAGTTAGTTAAAATGGCTTGGAAAGGAAAGGGAACTGTTAGTGGATACAGCATAGGATGGTACTTAACTTCATCTCTAATAAAAATCTCTGCCCACTCGCACGCCTCAATGTGACGTTGCATGTTCCTTGAGCGAGAAATGATAGTTTCAACTGAAGTACTCAGTGGGTCAAAACCGACTGCTTCGAGCAATTCCTTCGTAACTACGTTGTTGTATGTTGATGTAAACGTTTCTCGATCTATGTTGTTGCGCAAAAAGGTAACAATCCAGTCGCCAAGAGGTCGATGTTCAAGATGTTCTGATGGCACTTCCTTAAGACGGTCAAGGAAGTCTAGTTTAAGTCCAAGCAAAGCACTTAGTCGAGCATTAGGGCAATGAAACCGATCAAAATCCTCCGTCGTAAATTCAAAACTTGTTTTTTCTTGCTCTTCTAAAACCTTATTTATTGATGTCTCTAGGCGGTCTGCAAAGGAAGGGCCCTTTTCATCTAGCTTCTTCATGTTGTAGTAGTTCTTGATTATAAATTCTTTATATTCCTCGATAGCTTCTTGGGCTTCATAAATGGCGTGTTCGAGATCCTGAAGCGATGTGTATTTGTCGTAATTCTCACATCTTATGATATTTATTCTTCGAAGCCAAAGTCTAAAGACAAATGAGCGATTCTCAAGTTTTGCCATTTCGACTTTACTTTCAAAAAACCGTGGAACCAGAATTACGGGAGCAACTAATTGGCCATCAGTGGCCTCGGCGAAGCCCATGTCCATCCAGTCTGTTGAGTTGTCGTCGACGTTTTCACCTCGCCTGACTTTTTCTGCCTTTCTTCGAAGGAAATTCCTGATGTAACACTTGCTTCTCTCTCGGGCTTCAAAGTGTGGCAAAAGTTTGTGAAATTTTTCATCCATCGCCGCTATGAGTTTGCAGTCGCTAAGAGTGTAGTCGTTGTACGATAGACTGCTTTCAGGCGAAGGAGCGGTGTTCACATAGAACTCAAGCGGTCGATGCTTAGACAAAATTTGGGGAAGCAAACTGCCAGATGGTGAACTTTGATTCGAAGTTGAACAAGAGGCCATAATGTCCTTTACGAGGAAAACAAAAGTAAATAAAAATGAAAATAAAAAGGGCGGAAAACCAAAGACTAGGTTGAGGAATTGAATCTGTAAGCGCTTTCTCGATTCAATCGATATTTGAGGGTGGGATTTCACTGTCGTCACCATGACAAGCAATGGAAGAGCCAATCATATTCGTGATCTGCTACACAATACCTAGAAATGACAGTGATTTGAATGTTAAGAGAATTTCTATGTTTGTCGCTAACTCTAGGGGATATAAATAGAGATATTCTCATGACAACAACGAACGTAATAATCAGCCAATAGGATGCGAGCTTTTCTTTCTAGTTGTGTCGTAATGAGTACATCCATGGATTATTTATCAAAAGCCAATATTTCTAGGAATTTAGGTCACAGGAAAAGGAAATTTCAAACGAATAAGGAAAATGACGCTGGGGATTGCGAGAAAGGTGGTTTCCTTAAAGCTGAATACTATATTTAATCGATTGTGATTCTTTTCCCTTCTGATTTACCGATCGATAGTGTGTAATATGCTTTGATCGACTGCAAATGAATAATAATCTATCATATTTAATATATGAAGTAAGATGCATTAATACTTGATATTAAGCAATGGTTGCAATTTAAGCGATGATGTAAGCGGCCAAGGCAACTAACACATCAGAACAAGGGCGGCCATGGTAATCTGATCTACAGGAGTACTGCTATACTTAATTAAGAGACACACCAGGGCTGCCGTGACTCTAACCGTGTAACACAATAAAAAGCTATATAACAATTGGGCCTTTTTTGCTCAATAACTTTATTTTCAGCCTTGACACCTTAATCAATTTTTTTACATGCAGCTATAAATTTTTAGCTTAACTATTGACTGTGCACTAGAGTTTCTACAAATTATTCGCGAATGAATCAAGTCCAGCATATTTAGTTATTTGTTCTCTATATTTAAATCTATTTGGAGAGCGAGTTTTTAATTAACTAACACAATAGTTAAAAATTACCTCTTCTTTCACGTGAAAATACCCGTGTATGTTTCCACGATTTTCGGAAGAGTAACGTGTGCGGGTTCGTTAAGTTTACAATAAAAAAGTGTATTATAAAATACAAAAATGAAAGTAAAATGTCGATCAACTCCTTTATATAATAAGATCATAAAGCCAACTTCCTTCTCAGACTAACGGAGCGTTTCAGATAAACGACCTTATTTGGCGTACCCCAATGTAGCACTTGAATATATAACTCCCAGGAATAGCTGGATGGCGGATACCCTGAAGTATATAACGGCAATAGTTACCTTACCACATCTTTGATCAACAATATACCAGAAATTGAATGTGTTTTGGTTGTCTTCTGGGCAGACACGGTTACGATATTTCATGCTGATTTTACATTAAAACGTGGATATTTATTTGTCCACTGTTCCTTCTCTCAACAATTCCTAATCTTGAAAGAATGTAATTGTGCCCAGATTGTGCAACTCGTGTCATTCAAGAAGAAAACTATCTTACGTTGTCTCTGTCGATGATTTTCTTGTTCAGTAATCAGTTGCTCTTGTCCTAAATTTCATTATTAAGCAAGTTCATCACGAATTTCAAGAACAGAAAGTATGATCGCTATGACGTTTTTGGCGACAAAGATGGATTCGTCTTTTCCATAACTGAATACTATCACCAAGCGAATAACTAAGAAGGGTCCATTTACCAGACCTATTTCAGCAGCGTTGCGACTTATTGCTGAGATAGTTTTTTTCCTATCATGCAGTTTAGTTTCTATCATTGGCCAGAGCGATAGCAAAAAACTTATGCAGGCAACAGTAATCATTGCTATGCCAAATCCTTGGGAGATTCCATAGTTGTGCTCTTTCTCGTCCAGAACGATGTCTATCATTTCGACTGCATCTAAGAGATCCACCGCCAACTGTACACACAACTTATAAACATCGTCCTTGTTCTCCTCGGTATCGTTTGCGTCGCTTGCAGTGTTGAGCAGCAATAGCAACAGAAGTGGTGTTACACAAAGTGTTCCCTTTAAGAGCGTTGAACTAAGTGTTTTGGTGTCGTTGTTTACGGTCAAGACTGGCGCTCTTAGAAGGTCACAGAGATCGTTAGCAGCTCTTAAAAGATCATCACACAGCGTTAAATTTGCTGTTTCGTTAGAAACTCGTAGAGGTGCATCACAATGAGTGGCATTTACAGTCGTGTTGTATGATTGGAGGTATCCTGCACCTCCAAAGACGATGCCAATACTTGGAATCAATCCCGGGAAAATATACAAACCCCATACACAAAATGACCAACTTAGGTTTGCCTTCAGTCTAGACCGCTCGGGTAACAGACAGAGCCACAGGATCATCGATGGACTGTACAAAATAAGTGCTATGCCATACCAATAATCATTTTCAGTGTATTTTGCTGGATAAGAGGCAAGCAGGAGGCCTTGGGTGACTGTCAGAGCGAAAAATGTCCCACGCCCGATCATCTTAAACACAAAAGATAGATCTAGATTCATGTTTCCAGTCTTCTGAGAAGGCAGAACGGTTGGAAGTATTAATGTCGCCTCAGCAAGATTGAAAGTGCCACAGCACCCGCTCACAGTCCATATAACTTGACTTCGGTCTTGCTTTAAATTACGAATTGCACTGAGGTATTTACCAAAGGTTCCTCGGCATATTCCCAACCTTCGATTAACCACTCAGTGCCTTTGCAACAGCCAGCGACAGTTTCTAAAAACGTATTTGTAACAACATCAAGGCCAGTAGCTACGAAAACGCACACAGAAAACAAAAAAGCGTCACTTAAACAAAAGGAACAGTTGAAAGATGTTTGTATGGCTAAGGCGACAGCTTTTCTGAGAAACTGCGAAGGCCTTCCGCTGACTTTCCGAGAAGAGCTGTTAGGGGTATTTCCCGTGCAATTACTATTGGACGATACTTTTAACGATCAACGAAAATAGCAAAAGAAAATGATCCAGAGACAGTGGAAGTTGGAGAGTGTCACTAAAAGGAATGAATTAACCCTTTCACTGCCAAATGTGGCCAAAGGCAAATTTCGACCAAATTTCGAAATTTCATTTTCTAAAATTTTGACAAACAAATAGGAGAATGTGACAGTACAGGCAGAGAGCTTTCATTTGAATGGTCACATCATAGGATTTCGTCCACAGACTCCAAAGTTAGAGTCACCTAACAAAACTCCATCAAACACTCAGGTAGTGAAAGGTTTAAAGACGACGAAATTGATTTAAACCGATTTGCGTGACGTTTGAGCTATGGGACTGCGCTGACCTGGATACTACTTTTTCCGGTTTGAAAAGCGTTCACCTCAATCCGAAATCAAATGCACTCGTCGGGTACATTTAGAAATGCGCTTCAATCTTGCCTGGTGTTTCATTCGATCCTCGGTCTATTACTGATAACCCGTCTTTTGAGCAAACCTTTACTCATCCTATAACATTATTTTATCATTTTAGTGAGCATCGCACGTCCAATTCGTTTGGGGTCACACGTTTTCATTTAAGCGTAAACAACAACCTTAAGTATGCAAATTTGTCCGTGTCAATGTGGTTATTCATTTACGCTCGAGGGAAGTAACAACCACATCTCACAGGCTAGTCTTTCGCTGTAGTTTCAGCTTTCCGAAAAATAAATGTTATACCTTACATAGATTTCTTCGCTTATATAACAGGAAAATATTTCGTTATAACAGTCTTCTCATTAAATGACCCCCCAGGTAACGCTTCCTTTTCTGAAAATGACCCCCCCAAAACAATCAAGATTTAAAAAATGACCCCCCAGCAAAATGGCCGACCCCACCTCACAAAACGACCAGCCCCTAAGGGGACAACTGGAATAGTGAACACTTCTAAATAACAAGAGTTTGATTGGAGCGGACTATCTGAATCTTTTTATCAAAGAACAGAAAAGTCAGAACAAATTATAAATCACCTAAATATCACAACATATCCTGAGAGGATGCTTTTGAGCTTCTAGCTTTCTCATTGAAGTTGGGTAACTATATTTTAAGAATAATACGTACTTCTTGCGTCTTTTACTAGTTATAGCCAAGGCTATGTACTGTACTATGTGTCGAAAGCAGGATTTAGATGTAGTTTCAAGCATAATTCAGTGTAATATGCAATACCCAAACATTTTATAATATTTGAAAATTGATAGAAACGAGGAAAACGTTACTGAAATAACCGTCCATAAATCTATGTCCTTTCACTAGTAGAGGTCACATACAAGCTTCGTAAATATTTCTTGGTTTCTATATTATTGCGGTAGCCTAGGGCTGTGGTCTTGCGGGATCGCACTTTATACTCTTTCCCTATAAAGAAAACCTACAATGATTGATGAGTACTGGACAGGCTCAAACTCGAAGATCAAGTTTGTTATTTCGCTGATTCTGCCAGATGGAGTATATTCCCAGGGCGGAAAAAAACATTGCGATATCATTCTTTGCGATGAAGATTGACTCCTCTTTCTTGTATTTAAAAAAGATAACCAGACGGATTACCATGAACACCAAATTGACAAACACCATTTGCATAACGTTACGGATAATGGCAAGGCATTTGCTCTGCACGATCTTTTTGCCATCGAGTTTGTTTTCTGCCATTTGCAAGAGATACAATAGGAAACTGAAGCATGCAACTGCCACCATGAGTCTTCCAAACCATTTTGGAATTCCATGGCCGTTTCCGTTCTCGTGGAGGACGATGTCAAGCATTTCAACAGCATCAAACAGATCTATGGTTACCTGGATTGTCAGTCTGAAAGCAAGTTGTGGGTAGCCGTCAATTTCACTTAACCCCGAAGCTGTGTTCGGCAAAAATAGAAAGAGAACTGGTGTAAGGCACAAAATTACTTTTAAAGCGTTGGGACCGAGGAAGTTCTCCTTGTCGAGGTCGTCGCCAACTACAGCAAATATGATGGCAATTATCGGAATCAAGAAAACTACAAGGTACAGTCCCCAAGTGAAAACCATTCCTAAAAGGCCTGCCTCTTTGCTGAGGCAGTAGATCCAGGAGACCAGTACCGGAATGCACAGAACAAATAGAACAGCCATGGTCGCATCTCGGTAAGTTGCTAGGTATGCCGCAAGAAATCCACTCTGGGTCATCAGAAGAGCGGCGAAGATCAACCGCCCAATTGACACCGATAGTTTGGCTTTGATTTTTACCCAGAGAGATTCTGTTGTTTCAGGAGGCATTGCAGAATGTGGAGATCGAAATCACTGGGACAAAAGGCCTTAAAAAAAGGCATACAACGTTAAATAGAATGTCTGGTGTGCATGCTTCTATATAACTACAACTGACAAGTCACTTTTCCGAGAAACGATCCTAATTGATTTCAATCGGTAAAGAAGGATTTGGTTTTACTCAAACTACAGGTGTGCTGATGAGCACATTTATTTACTGCCCTTAGAGCAAGTCATATTGATGAGTTTAATTACAACTGTGTCATAAAACAATGAATAAAAAACAAAGAAAAGAAAAACCGAAAAAAGGAGTCATACATCCGATTTTGGAGAGAATATAATGATAAAATCTATGCGCGTTAGTTATTCGAGATACAATGGCGTAACATTCTAAGAACTGCACTCCATTGTTTAATTTTGTTTAATCACTTCCTTTTTCCTGGAAAGACGCGTTTTGTACACACTTCTGCTTTGGAACGGTCGCCACTGTCAAAAGTTATGTTCAAAATAATGGCTTCGTTTCTGGTTTGAATGGGACGAGTCGCCTTTTTTATTTCAATGTGGGTATACCCAGTCCTATTCGACGGTTTCATATCCAGCGGTTTATCAAGAAATAGATGCCTTTTTTCGATAGTTTCCCGTTTACCTTTTACCTCTCTCATCGTGGCTTATTATTCTGTGCAACGATGAGAAGCTGCATTGATGGCTACTTATTGTCTGGTTGCTGAACGTAATCGGATTCACGATTTTCATATCAATAATTCTCGGAAGATGGATCCCACTGAGAACAAACTCGACAATTAAGGAGGAGTTTTTTGGTCCAAACTGTCTTGAAGATGACCCTATGCCTTTCACCTTTCCTTCTATTGCTGTTTTTGAGCACTGGTTGAATATTGAATCGAGTTCCAACAGAGAGCTGATGTAGACTCTTTCTCCCCGACTAGCGTTCAACTTGAAGATATGTTGTATGGAATTCCAAGAGCATGAAGAAGAAGAAGAAGAAAGCATAATATCGCTGTTGTCTGTTTCAGCTTCTTAATTGTTTCCCTTTCTTATGGAAACAGGTCAGACGATACGGCTATTGGAAGCATCGCTTTCGCAAAAAGACAATTTACATAGATTCTTCTTGTTAACGGTGTAATTCTGGGGTTTCGTTTGATTTTATACCTAAAGTATGGTAAGGATGCATTCGTTTTCAGTGCTAAAAAATGGCATCATAATCATTCTCAGCCTGTNTACCTCTCTCATCGTGGCTTATTATTCTGTGCAACGATGAGAAGCTGCATTGATGGCTACTTATTGTCTGGTTGCTGAACGTAATCGGATTCACGATTTTCATATCAATAATTCTCGGAAGATGGATCCCATTGAGAACAAACTGGACAATTAAGGAGGAGTTTTTTGGTCCAAACTGTCTTGAAGATGACCCTATGCCTTTCACCTTTCCTTCTATTGCTGTTTTTGAGCACTGGTTGAATATTGAATCGAGTTCCAACAGAGAGCTGATGTGGACTCTTTCTCCACGACTAGCGTTCAACTTGAAGATATGTTGTATGGAATTCCAAGAGCATGAAGAAGAAGAAGAAGAAGAAGAAGAAGAAGAAGAAGAAGAAGAAGAAGAAAGCATAATATCGCTGTTGTCTGTTTCAGCTTCTCAGTTGTTTCCCTTTCTTATGGAAACAGGTCAGACGATACGGCTATTGGAATCATCGCATTCGCAAAAAGACTGTTTACATAGATTCTTCTTGTTAACGGTGTAATTCTGAGGTTTGGTTTGATATTATACCTAAAGTATGGTAAGGATGCATTCGTTTTCAATGCTGAAAAATGGCATCATAATCATTCTCAGTCTGTTTGAGATATGTTCCACATTTCAAGTGTGTGGTCGTCACGGTTACTAGTACGTAGTCTAAAAAAAGACAATACTCCTTTATTTTCAGTAGCAATCAGTCAGTGAACTGCCGCTACATATTTATTTTCTGGGAAGCAACAGAACTATCATACGACCTCTCATACTGCAAAGCAGCATCTTGAGTTTAGAGTTGTTTTGTTGAGCAGTCACGAGGTCGACAGCAGCTTATTATTAATTGTGTTAATTTTATCACAGTAAGTCCTTTTGCCGTTTGACCCAAAATTCTTTAAACTTTGATGATTTTCATCGAAGACCCATAAACATCCCTTTGGTCACGCTAGTCACCAACGCAAGCAACTGTTGTTTTCACACTGGCTATGTCATTACCTATGAATAATACAATAACACATTCTCTTTCAATAAGGACAAGCTTGAACCAGTTTTATAGACTAAAAAAAAAAAAATCATACTGGAGATATCATGATTTACCATGATTAATTGCTGTGATAATTAAATAAATGATAGCAGTAGTGAACACGGTCAACCGTAAATGTCCGGCATCTTTCTTGGAAAGAGAACCTTTCATGCTTAACAATTTCTCGGAAATTCTAAACCTTCAGACGAATTCGTCGCTATCAATTAAATTGCATAAACGATTGACACCTAGTCTGTCATCTAACTTTTAGCTTGTTTACAAAAAGCGGGGAATTTGCCAGGTGCCAAGGGAAAAGCCCCTTGCCTCGTTCAGGCGTTCTACCATAAGAGTTGATGTGGTGTTTTCCTATTGGCTGGTGACACTTACAATTACCTTAATAAAATTCATATCGATGACTTTTTTCTTCAGTAGCAGGTTTTCGACCGAAGAAATGGCCTCATTTCTTGTATGCGGTGGACGTGTATTGTTTTTGGCTTTATTGGCCACTCAGAACTTTATGCTGGCGGCTTATCCAGCCTCGTATAAAGACGACTCCACTTGGTATGCTGTTGCTGCTTCACAGGCTCTATCAGTCACCTTCTGGCTCGCCCTCGTGCTGTCTAGTGCGGCAAGACTTCAAAGGTTGTTTTATATCTGGGGCCTGTACATCTTCGGTCTAGTTATTAGCATTGCCATTGTTTTTGGCTTCGTTGGAGACATCCTCGACAAAAAACGGTTCCTCGGGCCAAATGTTTTGAAGACTGTACTCTGTATAACCCCCCTTCTTCTCCTGTTGTTGTTGAACACCGCGAAAGATGGCAACAAATATAAAGAAGTGGTATCCAAGTTGTGTTTTTACATGACTGTGGATCTTTTTGATAGCGTTGAAATGTTAGACATCGTTTTGGATGAAAAAGAGCACAACTATGGCATCCCGAAAGAATTCGGAGCAGGAATGATCGCCTTGGCTTGCATCAGTTTACTACTCTCCCCATGGCAAATGGCGGAAAACAATCTCAAGGAAGAAAAACCCAGAAAATGTACTGCAATATCACGAAACATTGCCGAAATAGTCTTCGACGTTGTGTTCCTGGCCATCCGTCTTGTGATTGTATTTAAATACAAGAAGGACGAGTCTATCTTCATCGCTAAGAATGGCATCGGAATAATCCTCGCCTCATTCGAGATCCACGATCTCCTTAACAAGGGATAATGGCTTGCTTGGGTGCACTTTAAACTCTGAAACGTTTTCTACAAGCTATAAGTCTGACATTCTCTCAGATTTTGTAAGGAATATATAGCAGTTCCGAATGAAGCAGATGATTTTTGTATTTAGTTATATAAAGAATGTGAGTGTATTCCATTTTTGTGTGAATTGATGAGCTATTTTTTTCTTAATTTATTGTCTGGTACATGTTTATGGCTACTTTGATCATGGAACGTTTAATTTCGGTATTGTATGACCCACAATATACAGAATGAAAAATGAAATGTATATATAAATAAATCATGTCTAATGAATTTGCCAATGTTTACGTTTTACGTATAGCAGTGTCAGTAGGGTCAAATACGATTAATAAATGCTTAATAAAAACAAATTGCTTTGCATTTTGCTTCTGTACTTTTGCAATTTCACCCTTTGAGGGAGTGAAGTAGGGTAAGATACATTATTCTTTTCGAAAACTGATTTGAGCATTATGCTCTTGAGCGTTACCCTCAAAATTCAGCATTATGCCTAAAATTGTGTTCGAAAAGTAGTATTATGGTCGACTGAACTTGGCTGTATTTGATGCCTTTTTGCACCCACGCAGGCATGAATACAACATTTTAATTTATTGCATCAGTTACAAATTTTCGATGATTGACAGCCATGATGGATAAACAATTAGCCAGTCTTAGCAGCCTAACCGACTGAAGCAATGGTGCAACAAGACATTGAAGTAGCAATCAAGCCTAATTGAATATGTTAATATTAATCCCAACTAAAAGCACTTGGAAGTAAACAATTCATAGTACGGTTATGAAAATATTACTATTTTTTTCATTATCATTCTCTTTATGCTGTAAAAAATGGCCATTATGTTCACCTGGCATTATGCTCGATGCTCCGACTATAGCATTATGCCCAAAATTATGCCGGCATAATGTATCTCACCCTAGAGTGAATACGTTACTGATTTCCGTTTCAACATAATGAAATTTTAACGTAAAAATTTCAGAGCAAAAATAAATTGGGTGTTCTCTTGGAATTGACTCATTACGCATCTACTTTAGATGATATGAAAATACAGAAAGTCGTCAATTAGAGACTTCTAACGCTGTGTCGGGGAATCCCCTAATCGCTTTCTTAAAAACTTCCGTTCCTTTCAGTACATTTCTTAGAAAATGTGCTACTATAATTAAAATATTCCTGCTGCATACTTTCAACCTGCTTTTACAGCAGTATGTTGATTAATTGAATATACAGCGCATTTTGAAATAAGTGCAAAAGTTCAAGCAGGGCGACATTTTTCATAGTTTGTTTGAGAATGCTGCATATTAATTTATGTAAGCAAACAATTTTTATCCGTGTGACCCATGCTTACTCAGCGGAAAGACCGCTGTGTTCTGCAATTGGCTAAAACAATTCAGGGGTTTCTAGAAGCTTTTATTAATACTGCAGTTGACGGGGAAGAATTTCATTGCAAAGAGTGTTCTGCTTCTGGAGTCATGGGTTTGCTTCTTCTGCGCTTGGGACGTGCAGTGCTTCTTGCTCTGATGTTAATTCAAGGCTTTTTGCTTGCGGCATATCCAGCCGAATATAAAGATGAACCTCGTTGGTATGCTTTGGTCTGTTCGTACGCCCCAGCAATCATAGTGTGGCTGTTCAACGAGGCAATATTTCTTCGACGGCTTGTCTTCGTATGGGTTTTGTACATGTTTTGCGGATTGGTACCTAACATTGCCATCGTACTTGGTTTTGTCGGAGACAGCCTCGACCATAACAGGTTCTTGGGTCCCATAACCTTAAAGTCTGCTCTAGGTCTTACACCACCCATTCTGCTGCTTTTGGTAAAAACCCGCAAGCGATTCAAATGAAAACAGAAAAACGGTCTCCAAGCTGTCATTTCGAATGACGCTTAATCTTTTTGACAGTGTTGACATGATAGACATCGTTCTGGACGAAAAGGAACACGGCTATGGAATTTCAAAAGAATTTGGTAAAGCCATAATCGTCGTCGCCTGCTTGAGTTTGCTGCTCTCGCCTTGGCAACTGACAGAAAGCAATATTGAAAGAGGAAGACGGAGAAATCTTACAGCGATTCTACGCAACATTTTTGAAATGATTGGTGTAAATCTTGCGTTCTTGATCATTCGCTTGGTGATCGTGTTCAAGTACAACCAGGACGAGTCCATTTTTGTTGCTAAGAATGTCATCACGATTATCCTATCCGTGAAGGAAATCGTTGATCTCCACCGTTCCGTGCAAAGACTAGCCCCCGCACACCAGCAGCCTCAGAATAGCACGATGTTGAGCTAAGAATATAATGTTGTGCAGGCTATTAAACATCGATGCTTTACTTAATATGAAATAATTTACGAGCAGTAAACGGGGACAAGTAAGTGCGCTGGAATCTTTAGTCATTGTATTCTGCATTTATATGTAACCGAAAAGGAGACGTTTGTAGTATTCAGTGAAGTATGGAGATGAGTATAATCAGGACCGAGATGAGATTGACATATGAATTGACTGTAGCATCCGACTTGAACAGTACATTCAACTTGATACTTTTATAGCTTTTCTAATAAATCAACAACAAGAGCAGCGAACATAAGCTTTGTTAGTGTTGACAATGAAAGTAAAATGGCTCTTGCCATGGCCAGTACAAGAAAATTTCAATAGTTGCTTTATTCCCTTAATGAACAGAAAACGACACAACATTCAACCCTCCAGTTCTGCTCTCTAGTCTACAATTCGACTCAAACATGAATTTGCAATTTTTAATCACCTGCTAACCATTTGCCTTTATTCTGCAAACCCAACAGTCAGGCCAGATTATCTTCGCTCACGTTTCAACTTTAAATTACTCCTATTGGGTGTTCTCAATATCCTCTGAAGCATTTCCAAAGGTGCCTTCCTCCTTAAGCCATCGTTTCAAAGATCACACGACCTAAAAAATACTACGAGCTCTAGAGGGGAGAAGTGTAAGGTCTATATATATATATAAGTTTAGGTAGGATGCTACTAAAACGGGGAACAGGGAGCGAGGACCGAGCACAGTTAGAAGAAGATGAAAATAGGAACAAAACCTAACTTGAACCCTAACCCTATCAGGAATTTCATCTCAAATTCTCTGTTTCGTTCCCATTTTTCATTTTGCCTTTCGACGTGCTCGTTGCCCGCTCCCTGTTTTAGTAACATCCAGTTTAGGTTGCATTCTCGTCACGTCGAACGCAAAAAGTTTCATTTCGCTTTTCGTAGCACAAGAAAGGAGGAATTACGTAATTAAGCGATATAGGAAGAACAATGAATCTGCCAGATGATCGCAATGTTATTATATATATATATATATATATATATATATATATATATATATATATATATATATACAAATGAAACTCAGTAGCAGGGAGCATCTTCCACATTACTCCTTAATTTTGACGCGAAATATCAGCGAAAATTTGTAATTTCACATGTGAAATTACAAAATTGCCATGGCAACTTTCCATTCGTCTCAGTGTCAAGATGGCGACGAAGTTTTAAAATGTCATGAATGAAGATGCGAGGGGATAAAAAGACGCTTTAGAAAACCTGAACCCCGGCACGAAAGAGCACATTAAGAAGGATTCTAACAGGTATTTTGTCGAACAATTCTGAACTTAAGCGAAATTTCAGCTCTAAACGTTCGAGAGAGTGGAGTTCTCGAATGATACGATCCAGGATAAACATGTCAAAAATCCAAGATTGCTAACGTAATTCGTCACCCATGATGTTAATAGGTAACCAAATGGTATACTCGTGAAATTAGGGAATAATTTCACTTGCGTTTTTATAAGGATTTGGACAAAACGCGTGTGAAATTATTCCCTAATTTCACCCGTCACAATTTGATTACACATACTAATATTATTTGGTGCACCCCGATTTAGCTCTTGAATTTATAACTCTTAGGAATAGCTGGATGGCGGATACCCTGAAATCTATATCTACCTCTTTGATCAACAATATACCAGACATTGTGTTTTGGCTGTCCTCTGGGCAGACACGGTTACGATATTTCATGCTGATTTTACACTAAAACGTGGACAATTATTTGTCCACCGTACCTTCTCTCAACACTTGCTTTCAACACATCCTGAGCCACTTAATTGGCACTCAGCATAAGCACAATGAACGTTCTTCTTCTTTTTTTTGCTACTCAAACGATTGCGTATTCTTCCATGATTTTTTTAACGGCGAGTTATTGTGGAAAATTCATAGGTTACTTAGATTATAGTCAAAGATCTAATCTTGAAAGAATGTAATTGTGCCCACATTGGGCAACTCGTGTCATTCAAGAAGAAAACTATCTTACGTTGTCACTGTCGATGATTTTGTTGTTCAGTAATCAGTTGCTCTTGTCCTAGATTTCATTATTAAGCAAGTTCACGAATTTCAAGAACAGAAAGTATGATCGCTATGACGTTTTTGGCGACAAAGATGGATTCGTCTTTTCCATAACTGAATACTATCACTAAGCGAATAACTAAGAAGGGTCCATTTACCAGACCTATTTCAGCAGAGTTGCGACTTATTGCTGGGATAGTTTTTTTTCCTGCCATGCAGTTTAGTTTCTATCATTGGCTAAAGCGATAGCAAAAAACTTATGCAGGCAACAGTAATCATTACTATGCCAAATCCTTGGGAGATTCCATATTGTGCTCTTTCTCGTCCAGAACTCGACAGAACGATGTCTATCATTTCGACTGCAACTAAGAGATCCACCGCCAACTGCACACACAACTTATAAACATCGTCCTTGTTCTCCCCGGTCTCGTTTGCGTCGCTTGCAGTATTCAGCAGCAATAGCAACAGAAGTGGTGTTACACTAAGGGTTGCCTTTAAGAGCGTTGGACCAAGTGTTTTAGTGTCGTTGTTTACGGGCAAGACCGGCGCTCTTAGAAGGTCACAGAGATCGTTAGCAGGTCTTAAAAGATCATCACACAGCGTTAAATTTGCTGTTTCGTAAGAAACTCGTAGAGGTGCATCACAACGAGTGACATTTACAGTCGTGTTGTATGATTGGAGGTATCCTGCACCTCCAAAGACGATGCCAATACTTGGAATCAATCCCGGGAAAATATACAAACCCCATACACCAAATGACCAACTTAGGTTTGCCTCCAGTCTAGATGGCTTGGGTAACACAAGACAGAGCCACAGGATCATCGATGGACTGTACAAAGTAAGCGCTATACCATACCAATAATCATTTTCTGTGTATTTTGCTGGATAAGAGGCAAGCAGAAGGCCTTGGGTGACTGTCAGAGCGAAAAATGTTCCACGCCCGATCATCTTAAACACGAAAGACAGATCTAGATTCATGTTTCCAGTCTTCTGAGAAGGCAAAACGGTGGCAAATGTATTAATGTCGCCTCAGCAAGATTTAAAATGCCACAGCATTCGCTCACAGTCCATATAACTTCGTTCTTCCTTTAAAACCACGCCTTGCACTAAGGTATTCACCAAAGGTTACTCGGCATTTTCCCAGCTTTCGATTTACGTGTCAGTGCCTTTGGAGCAGTCAGTAACAGTTTCTAAACACTAATGCTTAGCAACAACAACGGCAGTAGTTACGAAAACTCAACGAAAAAAAAAACAAGAAAATGTCACTTAAACAAAAGGGACGGTTGAAAGATGTTTGTACTGCTAAGGCGACAGCTTTTCTCAGAAACTGCGCAAGCCTTCTGTTGCTTTTCCGAGAAGAGCTGTTGGGAGTATTTTCCGTGCAATTCCAACTGGACGATACTTTTAACAATCGATCAGAATAGCGAATTCTTTTAAATAACAAGATTTTGATCGTAATGTAAAAAAAGGAATATTTAAAAACTAATTAAAGAAGAACATGTACATCTGGGGTGAACTATCTGCATTTTAATATCAAAGAACAGAAAAGTCGGAACAAATTACAAATCACCTAAATATCACAATATTTCCTGAGATGATGCTTTTGAGCTTCTAGCTTTCTGAAGTTGTCTAACTATATTTAATGTATGATACGTACTTCTGGTGTCTTTTATTAATTATAGCGAATCAAGGCTATGTACTGTACTATTTGACGAAAGCAGGATTTGGATGTAGTTTCAAGCATAATTCAGTGTAATATGCAACACCCCCAAATTTTATGATATTTCAAAATAATAGAAATGAGGAAAAAGTTACTGAAATAAACGTCCACAAATTTATGTCCAAGTCGCACACAAGCCCCGTAAATCCTTATCGGTTTCTCCCATGCTGTGGTCGCCGAGAGCTGTCGTTTCGCTCTTATTACCTTTTGTCACTTTTAGTAAAGCTATAAAGAAAACCTACAATGATGTCTGGCAGAGCGAGTCAGTACTGAGCAGGCTCACACTCGAAGATCAAGCCTGATCAGCCTGATTTCGCTGACTTCGCCGGATCGAGTATAGCTCTAAAGCGGAAAAATAAATTGCAATCCCATTCTTCGCGATAAATATTGACTCCTCTTTCTTGTACTTGAAGAAAATAACTAGACGAATTACCATGAACACCAAATTGACAAATACCATTTGCACTACGTTACGGAACTTGGCAAGGCATTTCCACTGCTCGACCTTTCCGTCGATTAATTTGTTTTCTGCCATTTGCAAGAGAGACAGCAGGAAACTGAAGCATGCAACTGCCACCATCAATCTTCCAAACCATTTTGGAATTCCATGGCTATTTTCGTTTTCGTCGAGAACTATATCAAGCATTTCAACCGTGTCAAACAGATCTATGGTTACCTGGATTGTCAGTCTGAAAGCAAGCTGTCGGTAGTGGTCACTTTCACTTAACCCCGAAGCTGTGTTCGGCAGAAACAGAAAGAGAACCGGTGTAAGGCACAAAATTACCTTTAATGTGTTGGGGCCGAGGAATTTCGTCTTATCGAGTTCGTCGCCAGCTACAGCAAATATGGTGGCAATCATGGGAATCAAGAAAACTACAAGGTAGAGTCCCCAGGTGTAAAACATTCTTAGAAGGCTTGCTTCAGTGCAGAGGCAACGGATCCAGTAGAGCAGTGCTGGAAAGCAGAGAAGACATAAAGCAGCCATGTTCCTATCTTGGTAAGTTGCTGGGTATGCGGCAAGGAATCCAGTCTGGATCATCAGAAGAGAAAAGAACATAAACCGCCCTATTGCCACCAATGGTTTAGCTTTGATACTTTCCCACAAAGACTCTCTTATTTCAGAAGCCATTGCAGAATAAAACGTATGAATCGACAGCACGGAGAGCAATGAATAGAAATGATCATTCGAAGCAAATTTTTCTTTCTTTTCATTGGCCGAGAGCCCACCACGTGACCCGCAAATAACTGCCGACAAATAATGGTCTGCTCATGTGCAATGCCGTCCTACTGTGTTTGGCTGCAAATAATATTCTGCACATGCGTAAAGGAAACCGTGCTTTTCTCCTTCTAGCGACCGATCTTGGGTGGAAATGGCAGATCGCTTCGCTTCCCGAGGATATTCATTAAAAAACAAACTCGGTGATCGAATAATAAAACAATTATTGAACTCGGTTATCGCCAAACATCCTGATTTGTCAGTGTCTCGCAGATCAATTATTTTCCTCAACCTTCGGCTTCGGCAAATAATTGATCTGCTCACCACAGACAAATCACGATATTTTGCTCAACCTCGTCCAATAATTGTTAATTGTTTGGTGCGCATAATTTCTAGAAAAAACAGCTGACAAGTCATCTTTTATGTGATGTCACTTACAGTAATAAGGGCGATCGGATTTCTAAAAATACAGCTGCTCTACTGTCAATCATTGTCAATCTAGCTCTCTCAGCTAAAAATACCACTGTGAGTGAGAGTAAAATTGTTAAAAAAAAAAATCCATAAAAAAAATAGCCTGAGTATCAGGCGTTTCTGGGCAAAAAGGGGAAAGATGGAAGGAAAAAAGGGACCCATCTAAAATCTCCTCTCCCCTAGCCCCTTAGGAAAGCCTGATACTCAGGCTAATAAAAAATAAATTTTGGACTGGCTATATCAACTGACACAAACACAATTATGTATATGACGTAGCATACCAAAAATGGTATTTTCATTGTTGAATTGCGGTTACTCTTTTTCCTTTCTCAGAAAGAAGCGTTACACTTCTTTCTCGGAAAGGTCGTTACCGACCCAAATTACATTGGCAAGATAATGGCTTCATTTCTTGTTTGGCTGGGACGATTCGCCTTTTTTGTTTTAATGGGAATACAATCTTTTTCGCTTGCTTCATATCCAGCGACATACGAAGATAAAGATGGCTTTTACGCGTTAGTACTTCTCTACCTTCTCCCTCTTGGACTGTGGCTTTTTATCATGTGCAAAGACGACAACCTTCAATGGCTGTTTGTTGTTTGGTTGCTGTATACGATTGTCTTCGTGATCTTTATTGGAGTTATTTTTGGAGGGGATGAACCACTTGAGAACAAACTTAAAAGGGAGGAATTTTTTGGTCCAAATGTCTTGAAGATGACCCTATGCCTATCTCCCGTTCTACTGTTGCTGCTTTTGAGCACAGGTACAGATTCGATGTCTTACATAGAGCTGACTGGGATGCTCTCCCTTCGAATTGCCCTGGATCTGTTCGATGCAGTGGAAATGTTGGAAGTAATTCTTGAAGAAAACGAACTAAGCCATGAAATTCCAAGATCGTTTGAAGAAGGCATAATTGTTGTTGTATGTTTCAGCTTCTTGTTGTCGACGCTGCAGCTGATGGAGATAAAGCTGGATGGCGGCGATTGGAAACCTCGAAAGTGTACATCGGTATCGCGAAAAACTCTTCAAATTCTCTTTGTAAATGGTGTATTTCTGGTATTGCGTTTAATACTTTTCAGAAAGTACGGCAAAGATGCATCAATTTTCATCGCTAAAAATGGTATCATAATTTTCCTCAGCCTTTTTGAGATATGTTCCACATGCAAGTGCTGTGGATGTGAAGACTATTAGTGAACGATGCGTAACCTCGGACAGTTTTTCTTAGTCATTTATCAGCAAAACCACTTAATTTTCGAGACCTGAATGCTTTCGATTCAGTAATTGTATGTGATTATCAGTTAATGGAGTAGTAAATGAAAAACAAATGTTGCAAATTATAAAATATTATAGCAGTGGACAGTAAAGTGTTTATCACCCGCCTCCGTCAATAGAAGGACTAATAGTAAAAAAAAAATTAAAGGACTTCTCTTGTTCTAAAAATGACAAAAATACTCAGTTTCCTGAAAATAGCATGATTTGTTTATGATCAGTTGCCTAAAAAATTAAATAAGTTACAGCACTTGTGAAATCTCTCAACTGTAGGTTTCCGTTACCTTTCTCGGAAAGAGAGAATTACGAGATCAAGTAATTCTTGGAAATTCCAACCGTCAGACGAATTCGTCGCTGTCACATTTTGTAAAGGCCAGTTTGATATTTACAATATCGCGGATGTGGGAGAATAAAATCGGGAAATTCCCATAGGGATATATTCAATTCTGAGGGCAAAGTCCCTTGCCCCGTTTACACAAGAGATGAAGTTTTGCTTTCTTATTGGCTAATCACGAGGTTATATAGTAACACTTCATCCAGTTAGCAGGCTTTTGACAGACACAACGGCCTCATTTCTTGTATGCGGTGGACGTGCATTGTTTTTTGCTTTGTTGGTCACTCAGAACTTTATGCTGGCGGCTTATCCAGCTACCTATAAAGACGACTCCACTTGGTATACTGTTCATGCCATGGCTTCTTCACAGGTTCTATCAGTCACCATCTGGCTCCTCCTCGTGCTGTCTAGTGTGGCAAAACTTCAACGGTTGTTTTATATCTATATCTATATCTGGGGCCTTTACATCCTCGGTCTAGCTATCAGCATTGCCATCGTTTTTGGCTTCGTTGGAGACATCCTCGACTAAAAATGGTTCCTTCTGCCAGATATTTTAAAGACTGTACTATACTCTGTATAACCCCCCTACTTCTCCTGTTATTGTTGAACACCGCGAAAGATGGCAACAAATATAAAGAAGCTGGTATCCTAGTTGTGTTTTTACATGACTGTAGATCTTTTTGATAGCGTTGAAATGCTAGACATCGTTTTGGATGAAAAAGAGCACAACTATGGCATCCCGAAAGGATTTGGAGCAGGAATGATCACCTTGGATTGCATCAGTTTACTGCTCTCTCCATGGCAAATGGCGGAAAACAATCTCAAGGAAGAAAAACCCAGAAAATGTACTGAAATATTACGAAACATTGCCGAAATAGCTTTTGACGTTGTGTTCCTGGCCATCCGCCTTGTGATTGTATTTAAATACAAGAAGGACGAGTCTATCTCCATCGCCAAGAACTGCATCGGAATAATCCTCGCCTCATTCGAGGTCCACGATCTCCTTAAAAAGGGATCATGGTCTGATTAGATGAATGTAAAACTGTGAAAGGTTTCCTGCAAGTCTATCTTACTCTCAGGTTTTGTAAAAAATATATAGTTGTTCCTAACGAAGCGAATGATTAGTCGATGTAGTCATATAAAGAATGTGCGTGTAATCCATTTTGTGTGAATTAAGGAACCTTTTTTTTAACTTTTGACTATTTGACAAATGTTTCAAAGTCTGGTAGATGTTTATAGCTACTTTGATTATGGAACTTTTAATTTATTAGTCTACAATATAAACAATGAAAAACTGAATGAAATGTATTATATTAAATAAATCATGTCTTATGAATTTGGCAATGTTTACGTTTTACGTACTGCAGTGTCATTAGAGTCAAATACGAATAATAAATGCTGTAAAAAAGGAAACTGCTTTGCATTTTACTTCTGTACCTTTGCAATTATACCCTTTGAGGGAATAAATTAAGGTTAGATACATTATGCTCGCCAATTTGAGCATTATGCTTTTGAGCGTCACCCTCAAAGCAACAGCACTACGCCTAAAATTATGCTCTTAAAATAGCATTATTCTCGGCTGATCTTGGCTGTATCAGTTGATGCCCTTTTCCATCCCTGCAGACATGAATACAACGTTTATTGCATCAGCTTCAAATTTCGATGACTGGCAGCCATGCATGACGGATAAACAACTGGCCAGTCTTAGTAGCCTAACAAAATGACGCAATGGTGCAACAAGACATTGAAAGTAGCAATCAAGCTTTTAAATATGTTAATCCATACTAAAAGCACTTGGAAGTAAAAATTTCTCAGCACCGTTATGGATATATATATATATATTTATTATATGGAGGAGAGTGTTTTACTGGGAACTATACCACTCGTAGATTCCATACGCCACTTCATCCGGGACCCGAGTGGCGTATTTTCCGTATGTCACCATTGTGAGTGTTGTATCGTTCAATGACGTCACGATTCCCGCCTTTTGCTTTTGTTGAATTGGTTTCTCCATATAATAAAAAGAACATTACACGTTGGCTCGAAGATATGAATTTTATGTTCTCGTGGCAAGAACAATATCTCACTCGTTCGCTTCGCTCACTCGTGAGAAATTGTTCTTGCCACTCGAACATAAAATTCATATCTTCTCGCCACCGTGTAATATCCTCTATATATATTTCTCATTCTCATTCTCTTTATGCTAAAAAAAAATGGCCATTATGTTGGCATCATGCTCGATGCTCCGACTATAGCATTATACCAAAAATTATGCCGGCATATTATTGTATCTAACACCAGAGTGAATATGTCACCGATTTCGTTTCAACATAATGACTTTAACTTGCTTGCGCCATATCCAGCCGAATGCAAAGATGAACTTCGTTGGTATGCTTTGGTCTGTTCGTACGCCCCAGCATTCATACTGTGGCTGTTCCACAAGACACTCCTTCGACGGCTTGTCTACGTATGGATATGTGTTTTACGGATTGGTACCCAACATTACCGGTACATGGTTTTGTCGGAGACAGCCTCGACAAAAACAGGTTCTTGGGTCCCATAACCTTAAAGACTGCCCTTTGCATTACACCGACCATTCTACTGCTTTTGGTAAACAACGCAAGGGATTCAAATGAAAACAAAGAAACTGTCTCCAAGTTGTCTTTTCGAATGTTGACATGATAGACATCGTTCTGGACCAAAAGGAACACGGCTATGGAATTTCCAAAGAATTTGGTAAATCCATGATCGTATTCGCCTGCTTGAGTTTGCTGCTCTGACCATGGCAAATGGCAGAACACAATATTGAAAAAGGAAGACGGAAAAATCTTACAGCGATTCTACGAAACATTTTTGAAATGACTGGTGTAAATCTTGCGTTCTTGATCATTCACTTGGTGATCACGTTCAAGTACAACAAGGACGAGTCCATTTTTGTTGCTAAGAATGCCATCACGATCGTCCTATCCGTGAAGGAAATCTTTGATCTCCACCGTGCCCGTGCAAAGACTGGCCTACGCACACAAGCAGCCTCAGAATAGCACGATGTTGAACTAAGAATATAGTGTTGTGCAGGCTGTTAAACATCGATACTTTGCTTAATATGACATAATTTACGAGCAGTAAACGGGGATAAGTAAGCGCGCTAGAATCTTTAGTCATTGTGATCTCAGATAAATGTCACGGTAACCGAAAAGGAGACGTTTGTAGTATTCAGTGAAGTGTGAGGATGAGTGTAATCAGGGAGATGGGATTGACAGATGAATTGACTGTGGCATCAACAGTACATTCAACTTGATACTTTTTTTAGCTTTTTTTAACAAATCAACAACAAGAGTAAAAACATAAGAGCCATTTTACTTCATTGTTCAACACTACCGGTACAAAACATTAATTTTATAATTACCTCCAGTTTGTTTTCCATCTTCAATTCGACTCAAAGGTAAATTTGAAGTTTTTAGTCACCTGCTGAGTCAGGCTAGATGATTTTTTTTTCACGGTTCAACTTTAAATTATTCGTATTTGGTGTTCTCAATGTCCTCTTAAGCATTTTCAAAGATACTATCCTAGTTCCTGAAGGTGGTTCGAACCTATGACGCTAAAACTGTTGAGAGTTTTTCGTAGATGCTATATTTTGCTTTGTCCGTTAAGATCGGTTTCGAAAAGAGTAAAGAACAGGAATAGCTATACTGTACCAGCTAGAATTGTCTGTATTTTGCGAGATAAGAGGCAAGCAAAAAGCACTGACTTACTGTAAAGGCGAAGAATATAAATCGCCCTATTGACACCAATGGTTTGGCTTTGATTGTGGCCCACGAAAATCCTATTCTGATTTCAGAAGCCTTTTGCAGATTACAACTTCTTAAACGCCAGCGCAAAGAACAATACATAGAAAACGCATATGCGCATGATTCTAGAAGAAGACAACTGACAAGTCATCTTTCTGAGAAACGATGTTATGTAACTTCACTAGATTTTGAAACCACGACTGTTTTCTCACAATCATTGTCAATCTAGCTCTCGCAACTATCCATACCACAATGAATCAATAAAAGTGTTGCAAGAAAGGGAAAATGTTAGATTTTAGAAAGCATCACAGCAAAACATACATATGGCGTGACATTCCAAGAATGATAATTACATTGTCTAACTCTGATTACTCGCTTCTTTTTTTCTCGGAAAGATGCGTTGCACTCCTTTCTACGAAGAGTCGCCACGGTCACAAATTGCATTGGCAAAATAATGGCTTCATTTCTTGTTTTCCTGGGACGATCCGCCTTTTTTATTTTACTTGGTATACAGTCTGGTTCGCTTGCTTCATACCCATTTACATGATACTTCTCTACTTTATACCTCTTGGACTGTGTTTGTTTTATTTTGTGTAAAGACAACAACCTTCAATGGCTATTGGTTTGGTTACGGTACACGATCGCATTTACAAACGCCACGTTTTTTACCTGCAATCCCCTTTTTGTCTCTTGTAAATATATTAGCGTACATGGGATTTTATCTCAGTAAAATATTTGACATGTAGCTTTTAAAGTAATCATTTCCTGCGAAAGTAAGTTAAATTATACATATTTGTCTTCCTTCGATTTGCGGATGTCACGAATTTCAAGACTGGAAAGAACGATTGCAAGAATGTTCTTGGCGATGAAGATGGTCTCATCCTTTCTGTAGAGAATTACGATCGCCAGGCGAATTCCCAAGAAGACAATATGACGCAAAATGTTTCAACGATGTTTCGGGCCATTGCTGTGCGCTTTTTCGTCTTCTTTTCATCCAGATTAATCTCTAACATTGACCAGGGTGACAGGAATAAACTGATACAGGCAACAGTGATCATTGCTATGCCAAATTCGTCAGAGATACAGAATTTCTGTTCGTGGTCTTCCAGACCGATGTCTATCATTTCCACCGCATCCAAGAGATCCACCGCCAACTGCACACACAACTTGGATAATGCGTCTCTGTAGTCATCTGCGTCGCTTGCTGTGTTCAATAACAACACCAATAGCAGCGGTGTCAAGCAGAGAGCTGCTTTAAGAACGATAGGATCCAGACGTTTGTTTTCAAGGCCATCTCCAGCCTCGGACGACGCATTCGTTCCATTGGATGCTGCACGCGTCGCGTTAGCAGTCTTGTTGAAAATTGTTCCATTTCCAGTAACCCCAAATAAGATTCCAGCCCCGGACGACGCATTCGTCCCTTTGGGTGCTGCACGCGTCGCGTTAGGAGAAGTCTTGTTGAAAATTGTTCCATTTCCAGTAATCCCAAATACGATTCCAGTCTCGGACGACGCATTCGTTCCATTGGGTGCTGCAGACTTTGCGCCATTGGAATTGTTGAAAATTAGGCCGTTTCCGGCAACCCCAAATACGATGCCAATATTGGGAATCAAGCCGACGACTACGTAAAGTGCCCACACACAAAACGACAAGCGAACGTTTGCTGCATCCCCGAACACAAGGATGAGCCACAGTATGATTGATGGAGTGTAGAAAAAGGCCGCTGCGTACCAAACAGGATCATTTGAGTATCTTGCAGGATAAGAGGCAAGCAAAAAGCATTGGGTAAGCGTAAGGACAAGGAATAAAACACGCACCCCATGTAAAACGACGGAAGCCATTACTTTCGACTCTTTCGCTGACGAAGCACAAACGTTTATTCGCGAGATGCACTTAACGAATACGAAAACGCCAAATGACGTCATGTTATTCAGATTAGGTTTCTTTCCCAAGAGGATAATTTAATGATTCGATGTTTCATAAAAACAAGTTGGGGTTTTCCCCTTCTTTTTAAGTCACTGTCATAACAGCGACTCACAAAACTGACCTTTATCCCTTACGAGTAAACGTTTGCGTACAGGTTGGAGCTTTGGGCATCTGCTAACTTTAAAACTGAACATTCTGACACCCATCAAATCCAAATTATGAAAAATTGATACAATCGAAGCAAACTGTGACATAGAAGAAAATCTAGTATTTTCTAGTCTTCTTCTTATTTTCTCGGAAGCCATACGCTCTTCTCACGTATGGTAATATGCCCGTCTAACCTCGTTTTTGAGTAAAAAATCCTTTGAAATGCTAATCAGACGACGTTTTCATATTTGAATTTCAAAAGAATTTTTACCTGTAAACGAGGTTAGACGGGCATATTACCATATGTGAGAAGAGCGAATTGCAGAAACCGAAGACTAAAACCGAGCACTAACACAGACAATACTAAACAGAAAACGTCATGTGAGCATGGTTCAAGAAAGTTGTCTTTCCGGAAGACGATAATCAGCGAAGGGGACTCTATTTTGAAGGAAATCCTGATCCGTCCAACAGTAGCATATACTTACCAGCTGAGCGTCGACAAATGGTATTTTCTCATGGTATTGTATTGGTAAATCGCCTTATTATGATTACTCAAGTTAACAAGTAATTCGACATTTTGCAGCGGGTCTCCGACATAGATTCCAACTCAGGATGGACACTGCGTCGATCGTCGATCACTTTACCATAATCTTTCATTAATCGATAGGAACTCGATAACAGTTTATATGAACCACATAAAGCATTTGGTTGGAGGAATGGAAGTTGGCAAATGCGCTTCAACCCCCCTCCCTCCAGCCCACACGCCCACACGCGCATGAACTTGAAATTTGGGAATTGTAATTCGTTTACATGAGACATAAAGGAGCCATTTGACGTTACATTCACATGAGCATTTTTCTCCTTGTGAATTTTGCTCCGCTGAAATTAAGATCGGCGTCTGAATCAGTTCAACCAATCTAAGTAGTTTGGGTCGGCCTTAATTCGAATTAGGTTCGGCTCATGAAAAGTTCGGCGTCTGAACCGGGCCTAAGGTAATTTTCCATATAATGAATTATTTAATCATTCAATTTGTCCAGAAACAATATGAGGGAAATGATACAAAAATATCATAAGCCTTATTCTTTGTTGGCTGATCCTGCAAGATGAACCGCCTTTAGTTTTTTCCAAAGTAATTTGCATATCATGTTATTGTTTAGGAGATTACAATCTGGAGTCAAACACATAGAAATATAGGAAAACTAAATAATCGAGAGAAGCAGTCACATGGAAGAGATTGTGATGTCTTTTAAAAACGTTTTTAGGGAAAAATGTGATGAACATTACTAAATAACAAGATTTTGAAGGGATATATACGTATACTACATCTAAAGTGAGATATTGGCATTTTGTCAAAGAACAGGAAAGTCAGAACAAATCATAAATCACCTGAATATCACAACACTGTTTGAGATGATGCTCTTGAGTTTCTAGCTTCCTAAACATGCCTTACTATGTTTAATAGTACAATACCTCTCTCCCTCTCTCTCTCTCTAGTTTTTATTACAGCACAATCCTGCTAACTCGAACTCTGAGAGGAAACGAAAAACAGTTCGAGTTAGTGGGCGTTCGATTTATCGGGGTCGATTGAATACTCCATTTGCCATGTCAATAATTGATAGCTACTTATTTTTCGGCACTTCAGTGTATGGTACAGGGCAAATTCAACATATTTCATCTGAAACGGTAACATGATTATGCATTTTATGATAAAACGTGATCAGTTTGTTGCACCAATTAAGACAAATTAGCTTTGCTGCTAGTTTTAGTAATTTTACCGATTATACAACAAGGAGAACTAACGGGGATGGCATCCGAGAGGTGTTACAAGAACCAGAATCCTAGTTATCGGAGTAAATTTCATTTAAATTTTGATCAAGGGAAATAAAATTTTAGTTCGAGTTAGTGAGTTATTCGAGTTATCCGAGTTCGAGTTATCCGAGTAAAATAACTGAAAGGTACCGTGAAATACAGGGGAAATGGGACTTAGTTCGAGTTAGCGGGGAGTTCGAGTTATCGTCGCAGGTTCCATTGTATTTATAGCCCCTGCTATGTACTTTGTGACCAGAGCAGAGTTAAGACGTAGTTTCAAACATAACTGAATTCAGTGCAATATGCAACAGCGAAAACTTTTGCAACGTTACTATGAATTATAAAAGAAATGCGGAACAGTACTGATATAGACGTCCAAAAATTTATGTTAGCACTCACTTGTGGAAGTCACGTTCTGTTTCCCTCATGAACATGCACGTTTCTCACTTAATACCTTCTGGCACTGTTATTTAAGAAAAGCTAGAAAACAAAATTTCGAACATGTCTCAAGTCAGTAACAGGTTCACGATCGAAGATCAAGCTTCATCAGCCTGCCGATTTCGCTGATTTCGGCAAATCGAGTATATCTCCAACGCGGAAAAGTAGATAGCGATCCCATTCTTCGCGATAAAGATTGACTCCTCTTTCTTGTACTTGAAAAAGATATCCAGACGAATTACCATAAACACGAAATTGACACATGCCATTTGCACCAAGTTACGGATAATGGCAAGGCATTTGCGCTGCTCGACTATTCCTTTGTCGAGTTTGTTTTCTGCCATTTGTAAGAGAGACAACAGGAAGCTGAAGCATGCAAGTGCCACCATGAGTCTTCCAAACCATTTTGGAATTCCATGGCTGTTTTCGTTCTCGTTGAGGACGATATCAAGCATTTCAACAGCATCAAAGAGATCTATGGTTACCTGGATGGTCAGTCTGAAAGCAAGCTGTCGGTAGTCGTCACTTTCACTTAATCCCGAAGCTGTGTTCGGCAGAAATAGAAAGAGAACCGGTGTAAGGCACAAGACTACCTTTAAGGCGTTGGGGCCGAGGAATTTCGTCTTATCGAGGTCGTCGCCAGCTACAGCAAATATGGTGGCAATCATGGGAATCAAGAAAACTACAAGGTAAAGTCCCCAGGTGTAAAACATTCTTAGAAGGCTTGCTTCAGTGCAAAGGCAGTAGATCCAGTAGACCAGAACTGGAATGCACAGAAGAAATAACGCAGCAGTGTCTCTATCTTGATAAGTTGCTGGGTATGCCGCAAGGAATCCACTCTGGATCATCAGAAGAGAGAAGAATATAGACCTTCCTATTGCCACCAATGGTTTGGCTTTGATTTTGGCCCACAAAAACTTTATCATTTCAGAAGCCATTGCAGAAGACAACGTATGAAGCGACAGCAGAGAGAGCAATCAATAGAAATTGTTTGGTACGCATGACTTCTAGAAAAAACAACTGACAAGTCATCTGTTATGTGACGACAGTTAAAGTAATAAAAGCGATCGGGATTTCTACAAAAACAACCTGTCTGCTGTCAATCATTGTCAATCTAGCTCTCTAAGCTAACCGTACCACTGTGAGTGAGAGTAAACTTCTTACAAAAAAAAATCTGTAAAAAACTAATTTTGGACTGTCTATATTAAATGACTCAAACACAATTATGCATACGACTTAGCATACCAAAAATGGTATTTTCATTGTTGAATTCCGGTTACTCTTTTTCCTTTCTCAGAAAGACGCGTTACACTCCTTTCTCGGAAAGGTCGTTACCGACACAAACTACATTGGCAAGATAATGGCTTCATTTCTTGTTTGCCTGGGACGATTCGCCTTTTTTATTTTAATGGGAATACAATCTTTTTCACTTGCTTCATATCCAGCGACATACGAAGATAAAGATGGCTTTTACGCGTTAGTACTTTTCTACCTTCTCCCTCTTGGACTGTGGCTTTTTATCATGTGCAAAGACGACAACCTTCAATGGCTATTTGTTGTTTGGTTGCTGTACACGATTGTCTTCGTGATCTTTATTGGAGTTATTTTTGGAGGGGATGAACCACTTGAGAACAAACTAAAAAACTTTAAGGAGGAATTTCTTGGTCCAAATGTGTTGAAGATGACCCTATGCCTGTCTCCCGTTCTACTGTTGTTGCTTTTGAGCACAGGTACAGATTCGATGTCTTACATAGAGCTGACTGGGATGCTCTCCCTTCGAATTGCACTGGATCTGTTCGATGGAGTGGAAATGTTGGAAGTAATTCTCGACGAAAACGAACTAAGCCATGATATTCCAAGAAAGTTTGAAAAAGGCATACGTAATTGGAGTTGTCTGTTTCAGCTTCTTGTTGTCGACGCTGCAGCTGTTGGAGATAAAGCTGGATTATGGTGACTGGAAACCTCGGAAGTGGACATGAGTATCGATGATCACGAAAAACTCTTCAGATTCATTTCGTTAACTGTGTGTTTCTGGGGCATCGTTTGACAATCTACCTAAAGTTTGGCAAGGACGCATCCATTTTCATCGCTAAAAATGGTATAATAACAATTCTGAGTCTATTTGAGATATGTTCCACGTTCCAAGTGTGTGGATGTCACGACTACTAGTAGTCAGTCTAAAGAAAGACAGTACTTCTTTATCTTCAGTAGCAATCAGTTTGGAAGTAACTTAACTATCATACTGCTAAGCACCTCTTGAGTTTGGAGTTGGTTTGTTGACCTGAGTCACGAGGTCGACGTGCGCTTTAATATTGAATTCCGACCGTTTTATCATTTTGTAAGTCGTTTTGCCGTTTGCGACCAAACTGTTTTCAATTTGTTGAAAGGACCCAAAGAAGGCCCCAAACGCCTCTGCTAGTCACGCTAGTCACTCATATGCAACATATTCTGATGCCTATTTTTAGTATCAATAGTGCAATAAACGCATTCGTGGAGACAAGTTTTAGGTAAAGAAAAAGCTTCAATGAGTACCGGTAGGTTTTAGAAGAAACAGTTTATTTATACTGAAAATATAATAATTTGAAAGGATCAATTTTTTTGAAAATTAGATAAGCTTATAATAGTTACTGTGAATTCAGTCAGCCGTAAATTTCCGGCATCTTTCTCGGAAAGAGACCTTTTAAAGCCCAACGATTTCTCGGAAATTCTAAGCCATCAGAAGAATTCGTCGCTGTCAAATAAGTTGAAGAAATGACTGACATCTGGACTGTCATATAATTTTTAGCTTGTTTGCAAAAAGCTGGGAATTTCCCTGGTGTAAAGGGAAAAGTCCCATTGCCTCGCTCAGAATAAGAGTTGATGTGGTGTTTTCTTATTGGCTGGTCATTTTGCAATTGCCTTATTAAAATTCATATCGATGACTTTTTTCTTCAGTAGCAGGCTTTTTACCGAAGAGATGGCCTCGTTTCTTGTGTTGGGTGGACGTGTATTATTTCTTTTTTTAATAATCACTCAAAGTTTGATGCTTGCTGCTTATCCAGCAACATATAAAGACGACTCTAATTGGTATGCTGTTGCTAATTCACAAGCTCCCTCAGTTATCATCTGGCTCAGCCTCGTGCTGTTCAGTGGGGCAAAACTTCAACGATTGTTTTATGTCTGGGGTTTCTACATCATCGGCCTAGTTATAAGCATTGCCATCGTGTTTGGCTTCGTTGGAGACGTCCTTGACAACAAACGGTTCCTTGGACCAAATGTTTTGAAGACTGTACTCTGCATCACTCCTCTTCTTCTCCTGTTGTTGTTAAACACTGCCAAAGATGGAAGCAATTACAAAGAAGTGCTGTCCAAGTTGTGTTTTTACGTGACGGTTGACCTCTTCGACAGCGTTGAGATGCTAGACATCGTTCTGGACGAAAAGGAGCACAACTATGGGATTCCGAAAGAATTTGGAGATGGCATGATCGCCTTGGCTTGCCTAAGTTTGCTGCTCTCTCCCTGGCAAATGGCGGAAAATAATCTGAAGAAAGAAAAACCCAAGAAACGTACGGCAGTACTACGAAACATTTTTGAAATAGTTATCGACCTTGTATTCTTAATTGTCCGCCTTGTGATTGTATTCAAATACAAGAAGGACGAGTCTATCTTTATCGCCAAGAATGGTATCGGAATAATTCTCTCCATATTCGAGATCCGCGACCTGCTGAGCTGACAGTATAAGACTATAATTATGCGTTTTCTTAAAGGGCTACATAGTTTTTCATTTTGTAAAATATATATCTTTTTATATATAACAAGAGAGAATAAAATTCTCTCTTGTATATAACTACAGTTGAGTTCCACACTGCTAAACCCAGGATGGTGCTCAGCAATTATGGAGCGGGAACAAAGCTTTTCTACTCAATTTTGTTTCATATGGACTTTAATACAGAACTGTTTCGTAGGCCAACAAAGCGTTGACCCACTCATCGGCTAAATTCCATATACACTGAAGTATCGTTAGAGCTTAAATATATATATACATCAGCAACATGATCTAGCCGTTACAATATTCGAACGTAAAAAGACAACATATGTATGTAAACTTATGATTCGTACTTAAGGATGCGATTGAATTTAAGGAGGAACTTCCGCTTGTGCCTACAAGTTGATGTAAGTTCGTTACGCTTATTAAGTGTTGCCATGTCCGGTTTAAATAGAATATAGAATTTCTCTGACCTGTACTACACAGGTTAAATAATAGGAAAGAACCATAAACAAAGAACTAAGCAAACACATATGGAAGCTAAAAGATCAAAAGAAAGACTTGACGATCTCCTGGAAAATTCTGACCAAGGCGAAATCTTATACCCGAATCTTACCAAACGATGTAACCTGTTGATGTTGATTATAAAAGTAAACGATTAAAGATTGAAATCAATGTCTGAAACAGTGTGACATATTATATTTCAGCATCCATTGCACCGGATATTCAGCGTTCACTTTAGGGGGTCTTAGACAGGTAGAAAAGGAGAATCTGCTCTAAGATCTTGGATTCCAAACTATTTATTAAATAACTAAAGAGAGTACGCGAGTTCTGATTGGTTATAAACCTATAGTTTAATGTGCCGGTAAACTCATAGTGTTACTTAAAGTTATTTCATAAAAGCAATAGACCACACTTTCTATGGGTATCCCAACATCCCGCGTAGGTTATCACGCCGGTAAACTCAAAGAAAGTGTAGTCTATTGCTTAAATAAACAATTCTACCAGCAAAGGCACAGAAACAGTAATGATCACCGAGCTTGCAGATCGACACAGACACCTCCCTAAAATGGTCCCGCTGCTAGCCTTGATTAATTATCCTCTCTATAAGGCGGGATTCTTTGATAAACAGGCACTCAGTGTCAATCCTCTAACGACGTTAGTTTCATGTGCAACAGAATTTACCAGCACGTGATAAGTTTTTGGTTGCTTAGTGACCGTACAGAGCAGAGTCCAATTTTTAAGTCGTGAACGGAAACGGAGACTGCCGCTAGTTGGGAAAGATCCAGAGAAGCCAACATATTAGCACACTACAAATATTGATTCCTTTTTGCGAAAGCCCTAGACTAGCCTAGCTTACCAGGAGCTGTGCTTGAGATTTTGCTCGGCTTCGGACGATCAAGCGTCAAAGCGGACACGCAAATTATATAATTTGTCGAGGTCGTCTCAAAATCAAGGCATGGCTTCTTGTCTAGTACGCTTTGGAAGATTTGCTTTTTTCGTTCTTCTTGGCCTTCAAGCCTATTCGCTTGCTTCGTATCCAGCGAAGTACAAAGAGAACTACGGTTACTATGGGTTGACAGCCGTTTTTCTTCCAGCATTCGTCCTGCGGCTTTGCATTATGATCTCGAATAAACACCTTCAATGGTTATTTGTTGTTTGGCTGCTGTATGTCATTGGATTTGTGATCCTCATAGGATTCATTTTTGGGGGAACTGCGCCAGTAGAAGACAGATTTAAGTGGACTACCAAAAGCTCAGGCGACGTGAACAACCTAACCAACTGTAACGAGTCAACAAACGTAACCAACGCAACCAACTCAACTACATCTCTAAGTCACTCAACAAATTTAACCTTCTCGACGGAACAAAAACAAATGGAGTTTTTTGGTCCAAATGTCCTAAAGATGACCCTTTGTCTCACTCCGATTCTTTTGCTACTTCTTCTAAGCACAGGGGTGGACTCCATTCGCTACAGAGAACTGATGTGGATGTTGTCTCTACGCATTGCACTCGACCTGTTCGATGGCATCGAAATGCTGGAGGTTATCCTGGATGAAAATGAGCTCAGTCGCGACGTTCCAAGGTCGTATGAAAATGCAATAATCGCTTTTGTCTGCTTGGCCTTTCTGTTTTCGCCGATGCAGCTTATAGAAGTCGAACTGGGGGATATGCGTCCCGGAGGTTGGGAACTTGACAAGTGCACAACGACCTTACGAATAGCTCTTCAGATTCTCTGCGTCAACGGTGTTCTTCTGGGGCTTCGGCTTGGACTCTTCTTTGGGTATGGCAAGGATGCGTCTATTTTCATTTCTAAAAATTGTATCGTTATTACTTTGAGTCTTTTTGAGATATGTTCTCTCTACGAACGCTGTGGCTGTGAAGATGAATCGCCATTCTGGTAGAACATATCCAGCATTTTTTATCATTTTTTTAAAATCTTAATTGTATTTAGCCGAATAAGAAGCGCCCTGAGTGACTATCACAACAGAAATTCTACATTGGCCCACTCCAGAGATACTTGAAGAAATGACGTTTGGTCTTTAAGTCGAAACTGTTAAACTATTCTTACTAATACTTTTTTCAAAATGTACGTAAATGCAATCCGCTGGCCAGTAAGAAAACCGGCCACGTTAGGTTAGGTTACAAAATCAGTGTTGCGTCATCTTTTGCAATTTTAAAGCCAGGAGAAGGGCTCTTACCTTGGTGGATTATTTCGCAGCAGTATTATACAGTTAAAACCGAACCAGCTACAATTTAATGAACCACAGGCGTCCGAAACTCAGGGCCTGTTTACATGGAGGTGGGGGACCCCAGATGGGTGGGGTAACTTGCTTTGGTGGGGAAACCCGCCTGTCCATATAATCTCTCATTTTAATTTGATCACGTTTACATGATAGGAGAGGTGACCCGCCAAATGTTACCTCACCTAACTAGGGTCCAACACCTCCATGTAAACAGGCCCTCAATATGCGAGCACATGTTTCATTCATACGCAGCGTTTTATACGGTTTATATGGGGAAAATAAGCTAAGTAAAAAAAAATCTCATTATCAAAGCTTGTCGTGTAGCAAAGAATTAAAATAAATTTACTTTTGCTGTTTTTGTGTCCCTGTGTCGTTTTGAAGCTTTTAAGGCTAGTTTTGCTATCCTGAATATTAACCTTGATCTGCTTCATGATAATGATTATGAAAAAATAATAAAATGTATAAGTAAATAAGTTGTGTCTAATGAATTTTGCCAATGTTTACGTTTAAAGTATAGCAGTATAGAATCGAATACTAATAATAAACGCTTCTTATGAACCAAATTTCTTTGCATTTTGCTTCTGCGCCGTCGCAGTTACTGTTGTTGATTTCCGTTTCCACATAATTGAATTTTTCGACAAAAAAATTCAGAGCAAAAAGAAATTGGGTATGCTCAGCGAAACGGCTCATCACGCAGGTACTTTTGATGATATGAAAAGAAATATGGAAAGTCGTCTATTAGAGACGTCTATTTTAATTTTGGGGAATCCCCTTATATCTTTCTTAGAAACCTGCATTCCTTGCAGTGCGTTTCTCAGATTAGTGCTACTAATTAACCTATTCCTATCGTATACTTTCAACCTGCTTTTACAGCAGCCTGTCGATCAGTTTAATAGCACATTATGAAATTGGTCCAAAAGTTCAAGCAGGGCGACATTTTTCCAGTAGTTTCTTTGAGAAAGCTGCATAATCTATTTAAACAAACAATTTTTATCCCCGTGACCCATGCTCACTGAGCGGAAAAACCGTTGTGTTCTGCAATTGGCTAAAAGTATTCAGGGGTTTCTAGAAGCTTTATTAATACTGCAGTTGACGGGGAAGAATTTCATTGCAGAGTGTTTTGTTTCTGGAGGCATGGGTTTGCTTCCTCTGCGCTTGGGACGTGCAGTGCTTCTTGCTCTGATGTTGATTCAAGGCTTTTTGCTTGCGGCATATCCAGCCGAATATAAAGATGAACCTCGTTGGTATGCTTTGGTCGGTTCGTACGCCCCTTCAATCATAGTACCATTACACAGAATGGCCGATGTGTTTCGATGTGGCTGTTCAACAAGGCATTTCTTCGACGGCTTGTCTACGTATGGATTTTGTACGTGTGTTGCGGATTGGTACCTTGCATTGCCATCGTGCTAGGTTTTGTCGGAGAAAGGCTCGACAATAACAAGTTCTTAGGTCCTATAACCTTAAAAACTGCCCTATGTCTTACACCACCCATTCTGCTGCTTTTGGTGAACACCGCAAGCGATTCAAATGAAAACAGAGAAACGGTAAATCTTGCGTTCTTGATCATTCGCTTGGTGATCGTGTGCAAGTACAACCAGGACGAGTCCATTTTTGTTGCTAAGAATGTCATCACGATTATCCTATCCGTAAAGGAAATCTTTGATCTCCACCGTCCCGTGCAAAGACTAGACCCCGCACACCAGCAACCTCAGAATAGCACGATGTTGAGCTAAGAATATAGTATTGTGCAGGCTACTAAACATCGATGCTTTGCTTAATATGAAATAATTTACTAGCAGTAAACGGGGATAAGTAAGTGCGCTAGAATCTTTAGTCATTGTATTCTGCAGTTAAATGTAACCGAAAAGGAGAAGTTTGTAGTATTCAGTGAAGTATGGGGATGAGTATAATCAGGGCCGAGATGAGATTGACATATGAATTGACTGTAGCATCCGACTTGAACAGTACATTCAACTTAACACTTTTATAGCTTTTGTAATAAATCAACAACAAGAGTAGCGAACATAAGCTTTGTTAGTGTTGACAATGAAAGTAAAATGGTTCTTACCATGGCCAGTACAAGAAAATTTCACTAGTTGTTTTATTCCCTTAATGAAGGGAAAACGACACAACGTTCAACCCTCCAGTTCTACTCTCTAGTCTGCAATTTGCAATTTTGAATTTGCAATTTTAATCTCCTGCTAACTATTTGCCTTTATTCTGCAAACCCAACAGTCAGGCCAGATTATTTTCGCTCACGTTTCAACTTTAAATTACTCCTATTGGGTGTTCTCAATATCCTCTGAAGCATTTCCAAGAGTGCCTTCCTCCTTAAGCCATCGTTTCAAAGATCACACGACCTAAAAAATACTACGACCTTCAGAAGGAAGAAGTCTAAGGTCTATATATATATAAGTTTAGGTAGGATGCTACTAAAACGGGGAACAGGGAGCGAGGACCGAGCACAGTTAGAAGAAGATGAAAATGGGAACAAAACCTAACTTGAACCCTAACCCTATCAGGAACTTCATCTCAAATTCTCCGCTTCGTTCCCATTTTTCATTTTTCCTTTCGAAGTTCTCGTTGCCCGCTCCCCGTTTTAGTAACATCCAGTTTAGGTTGCATTCTCGTCACGTCGAAGGCAACAAGTTTCATTTCGCTTTTCATAGCACAAGAAAGGAGTAATTACGTAATTAAACGATATAGGAAGAACAATAAATCTGCCAGATGACAGCAATGTTATTATATATATATATATAGAAAAAAAAATGAAACTCTTTAGCAGGGAGCATCTTCCACATTACTACTTAATTTTGGCGCGAAATTTCAGCGATAATTTGTAATTTTACGTGTGAAATTACAAAATTGCCATGGCAACCTTCCATTCGTCTCAGTGTCAAGATGGCGACGAAGTTTTAAATGTCATGAATGAAGATGCCAGGACATAAAAATACGCTTTAGAAAACCTGAACACACGAAAGAGCACATCAAGAAGGATTCAAACAGGTATTTTGTCGAAAAATTCTGAACTTAAGCGAAATTTAAGCTCTTAACGTTCGAGAGAGTGGAGTTCTCGAATGATACGATCCGGGACTCGAAACATGTCAAAAATCCAAGATTGCTAACGTAATTCGTCACCCATGATGTTAAAAGGTAATCAAATGGTATACTCGTGAAATTAGGGAATAATTTCACTTGCGTTTTTATAAGGATTTGGACAAAACGCGTGTGAAATTATTCCCTAATTTTACCCGTCACCATTTGATTACACATACTATTAACTAATATTAAGCGCCAAACAAAGTGTTAGTAATTTAATTGATAAGTATCGGGGGAAGAAGCAGAACCATTTGATAGTTTGGGTCGGCCTTAATTCGAATTAGGTTCGGCTCATGAAAAGTTCGGCGTCTGAACCGGGCCTAAGGTAATTTTCCATATAATGAATTATTTAATCATTCAATTTGTCCTGAAACAATATGAGGGAAATGATACAAAAGTATCATAAGCCTTATTCTTTGTTGGCTGATCCTGCAAGATGAACCGCATTTAGTTTTTTCCAAAGTAATTTGCATATCATGTTAGTGTATAGGCGATTACAATCTGGAGTCAAACACATAGAAATACAGGAAAACTAAATAATCTAGAGAAGCAGTCACATGGAAGAGATTGTGATGTCTTTTTAAATGTTTTTAGCCCTGGAAAAATGTCAGGGGCACCCAACGACGGTTCCCCCCTAATTACTTTGAAAACACTTTTTAGGCTATCCAGAGTACTTTTAGATCTCTAGAAATGTATCAGGGAAATGTGATGAACATTACTAAATAACAAGAACGTATACTAAGTAAGATTAAATAATTCGTACATCTGCAGTGAGATATTGGCATTTTGTCAAAGAACAGGAAAGTCAGAACAAATCATATATCACCTGAATATGGCACGATGAAAAGTGATTGGTGCCAAACAAACACAAGTTTTCTGGCACCAATCAGAAGTCAGAACGGCGGCGACCGCTTGGAACTGGTCTGGTAAGACATTGTGCCCAGGGGCTCTTCTTGCCGTTCTTTACTTTTCTTCGTGCCATATTTTCCCGCCGGTTTAGACTTTCCCTCGCCCCCACTATCTGCCCCTGGGTCTCCGAGGATGCCTTTAACCTAAACTATCATATGTCGATTAAGAAAAGTCAAGCGATCCTGAAACACTTTATAGATCTCAAGTTTAGCGTTTGGTTTACGCTGTGCTCAGAAAACGAAATCATGTTTTATGACACTTAGAACTTTTTTCAGGTCGACTGCCGGTCAAGATTGTCAAAACACTAAATTACCGGCAGTCTACCCTGCTAGAGTTCTGCTAGCAGAGTCGCTTCGATCTTTCCTAGATAAATCGGGAAGGGGGATAGAGGAAAGAGGAAACTAGGGGAAAGAGGAAAGTGGAAAGAGGAAACAGGAAAGAGGAAAACGGAAAGAGGAAAGCGGAAAGAGGAAGTTGAAAAAGTTCTAAGTGTCACGAAACATGGTTTCGTTTTCTGAGCACAGCGTAAACCAAACACTAAACTTGAGATCTATAAAGTGTTTCAGGATCGCTTGACTTTCCTTAATCGTCATATGATAGTTTAGATTTGACGGATTTTTTCGTTTTGTCAAATTTATTGAGAATATAGGACTGCCGGTCATTTAGTGTTTTGAAAACCTTGACCGGTTACCGGCCATATAGCCACAGCGTTTTATTTTGGGTCACGCCCCCATGTTTCGCCTCCAGATTGTTAGTTATGGATGTTTCGCTGTATTGTTATTTCAGTTTTTACGTGATTCCAAGCCACATTATTAAAGAATTGTAAAAGAGTAGACTGGCTTTTGGTTGAAATCGTTGTAAAGGTCCTCATCCTCGCGTGGGCAGAGAGTGAATCTGTGTTTGTACCGATCGACTCACCTCCGCCCCCGCTACACTAGATGCCTAAAGATGCCTTACTATGTTTGATAGTACAATACCTCTCTCTCTCTCTCTCTCTAGTTTTTATTACACCACAATCCTGCTAACTCGAACTGTGAGGGGAAACGAAAAACGGTTCGAGTTAGCGGGCGTTCGATTTATCGGGGTCGATTGAATACTGCATTTGCCATGCCATTAATTGATAGTTACTGATTTTTCTTCACTTAAGTGTATGGTAAAGGGCACATTCAACATATTTCATCTGAAACGGTAACATGATTATGCAATTTATGATAAAACGTGATCAGTTTGTTGCACCAATTAAGACAAATTGCTTTGCTGCTAGTTTTAGTGCTTTTACCGATTATACAATAAGAAGAACTAACGGGGATGGCATCCGAGAGGTGTTACAAGAACCAGAATCCTAGTTATCGGAGTAAATTTCATTTATGCCGATACTCTAAAAGTTAGTTCGGGGCCGGAGCTCTCATTGAAGTCACGCTATTGTTCCGATACAGTATCACAGACAGAGAAGCCACTCGAGTGTTGGCATTATTTGGCCACATGTCTGAGTGGCAGTTTAATTGATTATAAAACAGACGCATTAGTTCACAACAATAATACTAAATACTCTATGTTATTTTCAGCAAAGGTGGGGTAAAAAATTCGCCCAATGAATGAACTAAGTGATAAACGCATAGAAGATCTCCCGACAGAGATGTAATCGCCGTGATGATGAAAGCAAGAGGGGACGAACGCGGGAATGCATGCTCCTTTATACGAACACTTCCTTAGGGCGATAGAAATGATTGGCTCTTGAAAGAGAGGTTAGATTGATGTGAGTCGGAAGGCCAACCACGTAGACCACAAAGGCATATTATATCGACATAAATTACATTATGCCCTAACATAATGTTTGGTTTTAAATTTTGATCAAGTGAAAGAAATTTTTAGTTCGCTTAGTGGGGTATTCGAGTTATCCGAGTAGAATAACTGGTTCCATTGTATTTATAGCCGCTTATATGTACTTTGTGACCAGAGCAGGGTTAAGACGTAGTTTCAAACATAAATGAATTCAGTGCATGCAATATGCAACAGCGAAAACTTTTGCAACGTCACTATAAACTATAAAAGAAACGCGGAACACAGTACTGATATAGACGTCCAAAAATTTATCTCTGCACTCACTTGTGCAAGTCACGTTCTGTTTACCCCATCAACATGTACGTTTCTTACTTAATACCTTCTGTCACTGTTATAAATTTAAGAAAAGCTAGAGAACAAAATTACGAGCATGTCTAAAGTCAGTAACAGGCTCACGATCGAAGATCAAGCTTGATCAGCCTGCCGATATCGCTGATTTCGGCAAATCGAGTATATCTCCAACGCGGAAACGTACATAGCGATCCCATTCTTCGCGATGAAGATTGACTCCTCTTTCTTGTACTTGATAAAGATATCCAGACGAATTACCGTAAACACGAAATTGACACATACGATTTGCACCAAACAAGTTACGGATAATGGCAGGGCATTTGCGCTGCTCGACTATTCCGTCGTCGAGTTTGTTTTCTGCCATTTGCAAGAGAGACACCAGGAAACTGAAGCATGCAAGTGCCACAATCAGTCTTCCAAACCATTTTGGAATTCCATGCCTGTTTTCGTTCTCGTTGAGGACGATATCAAGCATTTCAACAGCATCAAACAGGCCCCAGTTGTTCAAAAGGTGGATAACGCTATCCATCGGATAAATCACTATCCACTGGATAGCGCAATTGGTTTCCCTAACACTTATCCGTGGGATAGTGATTTATCCGTTGGATAGCGCTATTCAACTTTTGAACAACTGGGGCCAGAAAATCTATGGTTACCTGGATGGTCAGTCTGAAAGCAAGCTGTCGGTAGTCGTCACTTTCACTTAATCCCGAAGCTGTGTTCGGCAGAAATAGAAATAGAACCGGTGTAAGGCACAAAATTACCTTTAAAGTGTTGGGGCCGAGGAATTTCGTGTTATCGAGGTCGTCGCCAGCTACAGCAAATATGGTGGCAATCATGGGTATCAAGAAAACTACAAGGTAGAGTCCCCAGGTGTAAAACATTCTTAGAAGGCTTGCTTCAGTGCAGAGGCAGTAGATCCAGTAGACCAGTACCGGAAAGCAGAGAAGACATAACGTACTCTTGTTTTTATCTTGATAAGTTGCTGGGTATGCCGCAAGGAATCCACTCTGGATCATCAGAAGAGAGAAGAATATAAACCGTCCTATTGCCACCAATGGTTTGGCTTTGATTTTGGCCCACATAAAATGTATCATTTCAGAAGCCATTGCAGACTGAATACAACGTATTAAACGCCAGCAGGCATAGCAATGAATACAGAATGTCATTTGTCCTGATTTGTAGCATCAGGTGAGAGACCAAAAACGTCATAATTAACAAATAGTTGATGCGTCAGCGTGCGTATCTCGAGATATTGAGCACGCGGGAAGTTTGGACGAGAGCACGGAAGAGGCGTAAGAGTTGCACGAGGCATAGCCGAGTGTAACTCTAGCCTCTTGAGTGCTCTCCAAACTTCCCAAGTGCTCAATATCTCGACAAACGCACAGCTGCAGCATGAATGTATTTTCGTTTTCTCTTAAACATAATATATAGATTTAGCCAGGCCTAGAAGCGAGGCTCTCATTAATAAATTTATAATTTAAATCAAAC